CGCGGCGGAGATCTCCTCCGCGGAGAGGACGACGGTGAAGGCGCGGAAGCTGGGGAGCTGCTCGAGCCGCCGTCGCGCCTCTTCACGCTGCGGCGCCGTCAAGACCTTGCTATCGGCAACCCCGCACTCGTCCAGGAGGCGGTCGTGCTCGGCGAGCGAAATAACGGCGCCGGCGTAGATCATCGGGCCGAAGACGGGCCCTCGGCCGGCCTCATCGACGCCGACGACGAGCGATCCCCTGTTCACCTCGTCGAGGGTGAGGCCAAGCGCGCGGCGGAGGTCGTCTGCGCGGAAAAGCGACCGCGACGGCGGCTGCTTCGCGCTGGATAGGCTCATCTCCACCCGTAAACGTACGACGACTCCCCACGGAGACGACCCCTTCTCGGTGGATAAGGGGGGGAATAGACCAAGAGGGGCGTTGGCGAGCACACCCCTAAATTTTCTGCTTTGATAGCCTCAACTGCTCAGGCGAAGGAAACGAAACAAAAAGGGGAAAGAGAGGAGGGGGTACGAAGAAAAAGAAGATAGGAGATGGGGTAGTTTCAGAACTCAGATTCGGCACGCACAGATGCATACGCAGAAAAAAAAAACATCTGTCAGCTGTTGAAGTTGACATGATATTGCTGAACCATTACTCTGTCTTCTTGGTTACGGTATTCTGCTTAGGTAACAAAGTGAATGACGGTTGAGAACTAAGTGGGTAAATTGACCACACCACAAGTGACCTAAAGTGCTCCTGTATATTTGCCATACTTCATCTTTTGTTTAGCATGTGGCCGAGCCTGGCGCAGGCCCGAAATACCGCCCCTCTGTCTGTTTGCACCCAAAAAACGATAAAACATGTTGGGTAAAATCGTCTCGCAACGAACGGCACGATACGAAAATAGAAGCGAAAGCACGGTGCCGATAACGAAAATCGACTCTGCGCTACGATCCGCCTGAAGCTTGATAGCGCTCTCACTCGGATCTGCCGGATTGTAGTAAACAATAAGCTGCGTTCCGGCCCCAAGAAGTGTCGGGTTTGGTACCATTTCCTCTTTATGCACGCCGCCGCTGCGAAAGCGGTCGCCCACATAGTCTTTCCCATTCACGTTGAAGCCATACCGCACTTGGCTCGAACCTCCACGCTTCATGACAATCTTGTGATCTAAAATCGTCCCGACGACAGGCTTCCACGTCATGGAGCGGCGATAACGATCCTCTGCGTCAGCAATCCACCTTACCTGGACATAAGCAAAGTAAGAATAGATGATAGAAAATCCTACTCGGAATGTACTTAGATACCACGGCATTGTTTAGTGGAAATTCTTCTAAAAAGAAAAGATGTATGTAAGTAAAGGCTGGAGTGTTTCTAGCTGTCTTACTTACCCCTCTTTTGTACTAAGGGAAAATAGGAATAAGGGAAAAAGAAAACTGATAATAATAAACGCACACTTGGCAATCTACTCATGAAAATGCGTGCATGAAACAGCCTAAGATGGGAAATATTATAATAGAACAAAAAGACATTCAACTACACACTCATAAAGAAGGGTTCACTTTTTTATGGGTGCACCCCCTTTCTAATACCTAGTAAATATATTCGATCCTTTGTTCTGAAAGCGATAGGGGGATAAGAAGATGCAATTACAAGGTCGAGCTAATAGAAGTTTTTGGAATTGTTTGCTAGTAGTTTTTTGTAAAGACTGGCACTTTATTGACCTCCTGCATACCGCCCGCACTCTCGGGTCTGAAAGCCGCATAATTTGGGTTCGAAAAGCGCTCATACTTTGCGCGGGACTTGGGATTGGTGCACATGTGCAGCGCTTCCGTGCAAACATTCAAATATTTCACATAAGTTATGCCCTGATCGCGCCAATTCATCACGGACAAAGTACGACGGAGCATTTCGGTTTTTCGACAGAATGTTTAACGATAATATTAAATGGATCACTTCTCCTAGAATTACAACTAACGAATAAGATTTCAAGAGTAAGAATAGTGAGTTCAGTACATGGATTTTTAAACAAGGGATAATCACTTTGCCATCAAAGATTTATCAATATGCATCCTCAGCAATTGACCATTTAATCTGTAAAGCTCTTGCGGTACATTATGAAATCTGAGTAAATAAACGTCTCGTACAGACGAATGCAAGAGTCCCTTTGAGATAGTGAGAAATAAAAATAATAACAATAATACGAATTGATGCAAAAATTTGAATTCAAACCGCGACTAATAAACGCTGAAATTGTATTCTAATACCAGGGATCGGCCGGACGTGGTCTAATGAAGCCCTCACACTCCAATTTATTGTCATATTTCGACCGCCTTTCTGGATCTGTTAGTACCTCATGAGCTTCCGTAATTACCTTAAATAGTTCCATCTCCTCGGACGATTGCTCACGGCCTACTCGATCCGGATGCAACTCAAGGGCCTTCTGTTTGTAGTGCCTCCGAATCACCTCAACGGTGGCGTCGTGAGAAACGCCCAGTACGTCGTAATAGTTCATGAGTGACAGCAGCCGTGCCGTTATTTTGTTTTCATCCTTGTTGCGCGTCAAATGCTTTAGAGTGTTGTGGGTAGCAGAAGAAGGCTTGGTCTTCGTCTTCCTTCCATGCACTTCAAAGCCATCCAAGAGGCTTTCGGCGTTGTTAAACTTACAACGTTCACCCTGGGTGGAAATATCAAGTAAGTTAATATCTTCATGGGTTGCAGCGTCGCTGTAATCCACATATATAGTATTTTTGCGGGGCTCCCCCGTCATATGATCGTTAGACTGGGAAGAAGAGTTCGGTAAGGCCGACATAAATAAGTCATCCAGTTGGCTATTAGAGACGTACCTTTCTTTGCGAGAAGTTGCCGCAGGTTGTGCAGAAGAACTTGTTCCATTGCTCTGTGGAGTTTGATCATTAAACAGGTCATCCAAATTCACGGTTCGATTCGTCTTCGTCGAAGTACCCTCTACGGTGAATGAAGTCATGGGCGGCTGTGCCGTCGCTGTCGCCGTCCTAGGCGGAGGCCTAGAGACGGGCTGGTCGTCTTCGTCAATATCAGAGAGCCCCATACTCAACTGAGATTACTAAATCGAAGCCCGTAGGCAAAGGTGCAGTTTTTAAGGATATTAAATTAGACCACTGATACTTGATAATAGATATATAGCTATATATGTATAATAATGTGCACTTCAGAAAAACAAAAAAAAACTATCCGTTTATTACTGATGTAGATACATCTACGCTTCTAGGAGCGGAGCTATCCGTCTATTTCCACCGAAAAAAAGAGCACCTAAAAGGAGAAGAGCGAATAGAATGCCCCCACTGCTCCTCTGTCCGAGGTCAGCCAAACCGATCTAAAGTGGAAATCTAAAAAAAAATAGGAGTGCCATCATTTTTTTTTACACAATAAATTACAAAAACAAAATGATCAGAAAAATGGTTAAAGCATCATTGACCCCGGTAAAGGTGTCTTCCTTCCCACTTTACTTGCTCTCCTCCTTGTAGGTCAGATGGCACTTTCCGCAGTACTTGCGATCCTTGTGCTGCGCCATGAAGACGCCGGCGCCGCACTGGGGGTGGGGGCACTCCTGACGGGTCCGCTCCACCGTGTAGGAGCCGTCGTCGTTCTCGATGACCTTGAAGTACTTGAGCGCGCGCATCTTCTCAAGCTTGTGCTTGTGGTTGGGCTTCTTCGGCTTCGTGAAGATGCGCTTCTTCTTCTTCTTGCCCTTACCGCCCTCTACCGGGACGACCTCCTGAACGGTGGACCCCGAAACCAGGCCAATGGCGGCAAGCGACGCCTCCTCTTCGAGGCAGGCGCCACCGAAGAAGAGGCGGCCCTGCGAAACGCAGGCCGCACTCCTCAGCGAGGCCACCGTCCCCTCAGCGGAGACGCGCACGGCCACAGTCTGGCCTCCGGCCGTCTTAACGAAGATCTGCATGATACCTCTATTCCTCTTCTTCTAGCACACACACGCACACACGTAAAAAATGAGAATAAAAGGAAAAAGAAGGATGAGGATGAAGAAGATCAGAATGGGATCGGGCCAGTCGGGGCGCTCGCCTCTAAACAAATTGTACATCATTGCTGCTACTATGCAAATTCATACAACAGTCGTTTAGAAAGACAACCCCCTCCCCCCCCCTTCCTACACACGCACAAATTCAGTGGAAATAAATACTATTAATGCAAATAAAAAATCGCTTTTACTTATACTCAATCCCATTCTTCACGTAGAAGGATTTTTAATCAAGCGTGTTTGTGTTAATGTTACTAACATTTCAAAACCATTCGAAAGTGGAAATAGAAGCAACGTGTGGATTGTGATAAAACAGATATGTGTGCGGCAACGATAATAATGGTAATGCAACGATGCTCTAATAGAAGTAAATATACATATATATTAAAATGTACACGCCTTTTTCACAACATACTTTTTTACCTCCTTGTGACACTCTTCTTTTCCCTATAGTGCTGTACAAAAGGTTTATGGAAAAATGTTTTAATTAGATCTGAACGAATTTAGAATAAGCACTCGAATGTTTAAATGTAATATGAAGCAGTTTGGAAAGTAAGCGTCAGAGTATAGAAGAAAAGGATAAAATACAACACCATGGTGTTCACACAGGTTTGTATTCACGATACTTATTACCCCATCTATGTGTCAGACTAAATCTGATAACCATCCTCTTCAAGCACGCTCGCGGCAGTAGTAGCATTATCCTAAGACTTCGCGGCCTCATCCACCGCCGCCACCTTCACCACCGCTTCCTCCTTTTCAGTGGATTTGGAAAACGGAAAGCCCGCAGGGCGCTGCGTCAGTGATGCTTGCTTCTTCGTCACCCCTTCAAAGGAATTCACGGAGATGTTGTAGAGGTTGCTGGTGACACCACGCTCTGCAAGCACCTTCTTCATGAACGCTACCACTTTTGAGGAAAAGGAAGAGTCGTTGAGCCACACCTCAACTCGTATCATATCTGGATACTCGCGAGTAGGTCGAACGACAATTCGAATCACGTCGCAGACGGCCAGACCGTCACTCACCTCATGTGCAATGGTCTCCCCAAGCACAACAGCAATTACAGTCTCCATTCCCTTCTCCGTTCCCGGTGTCTTGAAGAAGTTAATTATCACGCGGGATCCGTCTGGAAACGCCTCGAAACTAGGGTCTTTGTTCTCTCTGGACATGATGAATGTGCTGCCTACACCGATCTGCTGGATGCGCGGCAGCGAGTTCATCGTAGACCACACCTCTTCGACTGTCTTCAACCAGTCTAAACGCTGCATCAGCTGCTCAGACGCCATCTTCCAATCCCCTTTAAACTCCGTGTTGACCATTTCAGCAGTAATGAGGGGGAGAAAGCTAACAAACCACCTATTTTTTAATGCATGAGTTGCTGTATTCATTTCTAACACCGTTTGTAGACAAAATCCGTAACTAATAAAATGATACACTGATAAAAGATTTCAATAGCGGGTAAAAAGGAGTAAACTAAAATATCAATGAACAGTAAGCAATCGATGATTCACGACAAAAGTTTAAGAAGTCATGGATTGGAGAGCTATTTCCAAATAATATACATAGGGCGCTCAATAATGATAGGATAATGGTGTTAATAAGGGAGGGCTGAGGGATGACAATATGCAGAGAAATGTGTCAATGTATGATATAACACGAACAAAAGGGAGATATACATTGCGACGCAGCGTTAGTCAAATCTTTAGAAGTAAAAAAAGGGTCGTTATTTTGACCAGAAGTAGTATTATTTGGCATTGGAAAGTAGGGTGTTTGGGTAAACTGATAAAATGTAGAAATTTGCTCCGCTTTTACCCGCTTCCCAAGCAAGGTATCACTAAGATTTGAAAAAATCTTGACACAAGCAGAATCTAGTCGCTCTAATAAAATTTACGGTAACTTCAACTGCGCTAATTCCTGACAAGCGCTTTTTAAAGTATACGAATGAGCTGTCAAGCATTAATTGCATTACTCGATTCCCTAGATCCACGTTATAAGAGGAAAGGAAGACTGCAATCACCATTTATAGGTGTACTTTCCCATGTTTATATTTTTTTCAAAAGAAAATTAGGAAATAAATCCTTTGTCCTTACGGTTACCACGACTTGAGTCTATGTTTGATTCATCAACCTTTCTGTAGCAACCGTATTCTAGGCTAGAAACCCTTATTGCCATTTATATCTCTTTAGTGTTAGGATGTGGAGCAAAAATAAGAGTAGACCTTTTAATAAAACGCTGGCCTCATTATTTTTTCAACAACGAAGACGAGATGAAGAGGAAAGGAAAATTATTCGATGCAATATTAATATTAGATATAAACACTCTACTTATAGCGTACGAGGAGGAAAAGATTGTCGAGGCAGGTAGTGCCTTGCTTATATTGATCGCCTGTCCTCATCTTTCATATTAGGAGAGTTCTCAAGTCTCTTTACCTGGAGAGATCCGGGGTCCGATACATTACAAGAACCAATTTTGTATACCTTTGTGGGGTCGCTAGAGCCGAGCCGACCGCCATTAGTTTCTATCCACTTTCTACTAGGGCCACCGCAAAAGTCGGGAATATCCTCGACCGCCATCATCTGTGATAACACCTCAAGGCCTTTGCCTGGTGGAACAAACCGAATCTTTTGGTTTGTGCGTTCATTAATAAAAAGCTGGAATAACTTCCAACAAACGCGGAAGAATGTAGGGCAATTAACCATTATCACACGGCCCGCCATTTCTGGGTAGTTGTCCTGTTCAATAGAACTCAACTTTTGCGCAAATGTTACCATTGCCCTCGAAAAGGTGGTTAAGTTCTGCAAATCAACAATGTAGCACATCCGCTTGTAGTGGTAATTTGACTCCCTCAAATATTGCAAACCCATCTCAATCCCAGCTATGTGCCAACGGCAAATGACCGGTAAGGTGTATTTTTCAACAAACACCGGTGCAGGGCAGCTTTTGTTATTCATAGGCTTCTCGCAAAAGATAAGGTTTTCATCATAATCAGCAGTTCCGGTATAGCCACATGAATAATCCTCTGCCATACTAGGAGGAAAATACTCATCACAAGAGGGTTTAAATTCTTCGCGCCACTTCAAGTGTTTCTTCAGCATCTCAATAACCTTTGTCATGTCGTAGTTGCGAGCAATGCAAAATTTAACCAACTCGAAATCATGCCAAGTTGCCACCTGATCCCCAAACTTCTCGCGGAGCAACTTCACATATTTCCCGTTTACTTCGGGATAAAAATCACGTTCAACTCCAAGCATACCGTTGCGTGGTGGACATGTAAAATACTGCTTATCGTTCCACGTACCATTACTACGCAAGGGGTTTTTGCTCTCTTCATCATATTCGATGCCGTAATGCCAGCCCGTTTGGTTGGTCGGAGACTGACTCTTTTTTTCAATCTTGCCAATCCAACGAATAGTTCCAGTTCTGCCCCAGTAATCTTGAACCCGCATACCGACACTGGCATTCTGATGAGAAATATGAGTCAAAGCCATTTTACCGATTATCTAAGCTTCGTCAATTGCACCATTCATAAACCTTTATTATATTTGGGAAGATTGAAATTTTGCTCAATTTTGAAACATAAAAGGAAAATAGCGACCAAAAGGAGAACAAAAGCGTAAAATGAAATAAAAATGAAAATAAAAACTATTTACACATATAATTAGTCGCCCCATTTATGCTTACATGAATATATAAAAGGATTAAGAAACGATAAGTATTTAATATATCTATATAGATATAGATATACGTATTAATGTGACAAGGAGATACTCATATGCGAAAAGTAAACAAGCATGCTGTTTATAGAACCCAGAACTTGAGATATTGTCCGATAAAAAAGATTTCCTTCAAAAAGAGTTTGTCCCCAACAATTTGTGAATTTTAGTATGAATAGCGCAATGAAAATATTCCTCAACCCCTCACAACATTTGAAGTGGTATTGTTTTGTCCCATTTATTAGCTAATGAGTTGATACAGCTTCCGGCCCAGCTCCTTGTTACGTTCATCCATGCGCATCTGGGCCTTGTACTGGGGCATTGGACGATACTCCTTGAACTCCATGCTAAAGTCACCCTGACCTTTAGTCAACCGGCGAAGATCTGAAATAAAACCAAACATGGTGTCAAGAGCAGTCTCTCCACGAATCACAGCATCTGGGCCATCCACGGAGGTTTCCACCACCACACCCTCACGCTTGGTGAACTCGGTAGCGACATCCGTCATGTTTGCCGCCGGCACGGTAATCTCCACACTCATGAAGGGCTCCACGAGTGTGGGCTTCAGTTTGGGTAAAATCGTCTCCCACAGCTCCTGTGTCGCATTTCGGAAAGCGAGATCATTCGAGTCTACCTCGTGCGTGGCACCGCCGCTAAGGTGAAAATGTACCCCCCATACAGGGGCGCGAATGAGTTCCCCGTTGACAAGGATCTTCCGCTCCAGTTGTTTGATCACGGACTTTTGTAGGTTCTCCCGGATATCACCGTTAGGGCAGTTGGATGTGACCTTGTTCTTCGCGCCCTTCTCCACGGACATGTCAATTTGCAGAGGTTCGATGAAACCCTTAATGTGAGCCCACTGCCCAGCCCCACCGCTCTGCCGCTTAAAGACGAAATCAAAGTCTTGCCGCTCCGTGATAACTTCACGGTAGTTTACGGTAGGCTTGCCCAGTTCGATTTCCAAACCATACTCACGCTTAAGACGCTCACGATAAATATCCAAGTGTAACTCACCCATACCCTCCATGATGTCCTCATCGGTTTCTTGATTCTTGTAGAAAATGAAGGTTGGATCTTCACGCATGAAGGCAGCCATGCGATCCTTCACCTTGGTGGCTTCGTGATCACCCTTTATCTTTACAGAAGCAGAAATAACGCGGGGAGGCACATACATATCCTCACACGATATAAGTTGTGTAGACTGTGGTCCAGCCTTCATGAGAGTATCTCCCGAAGAGGTGTCAATCTCACCTCGAATTGCGCAAATATCGCCCGCGCGCACTTCATCAATGACCTCCGTACTGTCTGCATGCATGCGCACAAGCTTCGGTGGCACAAAGGTCTTGCCGGTGCGCACGTTTTTAAGGTGCTCCTTCCGCATCTTTCCCTGATACACACGGACATAATTACAGAGACCGGCCTTTTTGATCTCCTCCAACTTGAATATGAATGCAACCAAGGGTTTTTCATCATCGGTGAGGAGCTCTATTTGCTCGTCTTTGACCGTATGAGTGTTACCCTCTTCATCCTTTACGGTCTTGATTTTAAAGCCCCGGTTCGATCGCTCTAGTGGCGAGGGCAGATACCGCTCTACAGCATCCAGGAGCAGCTGAATACCTTTGTTACGGTAGGCTGAACCGACGAGGACCGGAACAAACTTATTCGCAATGGTCGCCCGGCGAATGGCGGCGTGTATTTGATCGACTGAAGGAACCTGATCAGAGAGAAAGAGCCCCTCAATGACTTCGTCGCACTCGGCAAGGCACGTAATCAGTTCATTTCGGGCATTTTCAATTTCCTCTTTCAAAAAGTCTGGCACCGCTTCGTAGCGCAGATTTTCACCAAATACGCCGTCAAAGTACACGGCCCTGTTCTCAATAACATCCACCACACCTTCAAAGTCTTGTGCAGTACCGATATTTAAATAAATAAAGCACGCGTTAATGCCCAAACGCTCGCGTGCCTGCTTAATAGTGCGCTGCGGGTTCGCATTATCACGATCGAGTTTGTTTATAAAACAGATGCGTGGAACCCCATATCGCTTCATTTGACGATCGACCGTGAGGGTTTGGCTCTGGACACCACCAACCGCGCACATGAGTAAAATAGCACCATCCAGTACCCGTAGAGCGCGCTCCACTTCAATGGTAAAATCCACGTGGCCAGGGGTGTCGATAATATTGATGCACGAATTTTTCCATCGGCATTGCGTTGCTGCTGAACGAATCGTGATGCCACGCTCCTTCTCCAGTTCCATCGAGTCCATAGTAGCACCAACCTCGGTGCCCCCTTTCACTTCATGAATCGTTTTAATTCTGCCGCAGTAAAAAAGAATGCGCTCGGTAGTGGTCGTTTTCCCGCTATCAATATGAGCACTAATCCCGATGTTGCGGACATGCTTAATACTCTCCAAAAAGCCTGGAGTTGCGAGACGTAGGAAGTTCAACTTGAACATTTGGATAAATCAGCTGTCCTTCATAGTTTATTTATTTTTTTGTACACGACGGCAACAATATGAATTCAAACGCAAGAGAGAATAAGAAAAAGGCATGGTTATGCTTGATGTGCATGAAAAGTAGATACACGTGTGTGACATATAAATTAAAGCCAGACTTGACATCTGAAGCATGAAACAAGTATTTTTATTTTTTGTCAGCAATGCAATATTTAATCTACATTGTAATTCAAGATGCTTGGGGGGTAAAAACTTCGAGCACCCGCATCTTAACTTCAGCTAGCATAGTACATAAGTTACAAGCAAGACTCTCAAAAAAAATGTCGACTATTTTTTCATCGCCTTCAGCTGTTCTTTCAAATAGACGTATTCGTTGCGAAGGTTCTCAATCTCTTCATCATCCCCTTCACTTTCTTCAACTATTTCTCCTTTTTCTAATACCTCCAAATCATGTGTCAATTTTTCAATCTTTTGATCCTTCTTCATATTGTCCTGCATGACCTTTTGTATCTCCTTCTCGATTTGCTCGTTGGGGGTGGATAAAAATTGTAGCTCTGACTCGAGACGTCTTTCCTTTTGAGATAAGTCGTGTATCTCCTCTAAGATACCCTTCCGCCTCCTGCGAAACATTTCGATATCTAACCGTATCAATTCGTTTTGTGCATCGTTTTGACGGCGCTTCTCCTGGCAAAAATTGATAGCATTGGTGGCCCTTTTGACATCACGCTTCTGGTTCGATAAAATATTGCGCAGACTAATATTTTCGTTATTCAGATAGGACCTGCGCTGGTCGAGATGCAGGTATTCATGGCAAAGTTCAGTCACGTTGACGCCCCTAAGGCGTACCAATTCCTTCTCCAATTCTGAGATGGTAGAATGCAGCTCTTCATTGCGTCGTTTGAGATTTTCCAGAGTCTTTGTGTTGACAAAAGTTACTTGAGTGAAAGTTCCTGATTTTTGATCCTCATCCTCCATCTGACGCAATCGCGTGCGCAGGTAATAGTTTTCGGAAATTGCTTGAGCAGCCACATCGAGATTTAATGAACTCATAAGCAGGAAATTTTATCGACTATCGAGGAAAAATATCAGACTTTATGTGCTACTTATCACAACTACAATGCTAAAGAAACTAAAAAGTGAAAATATTATTTTTTAGAGATGTTTTTATAGTTTGCTTAAAAGGTACATATACTAAATTTTTAACCGATACAATGTACCAAAGTAGTCATGCCTCGAAAGTATGCAGGCCCATATAAAAATAAGAATAAATCACAAATACATTCAGATCTAAAAATAGATATTCTGAACCCAACCAAAAAAAGAGATACAATAGTAAGTTTGATACTAAAGGTGTTCTGGGTTTCCTCGAATTCTATGTATAAAAAAAAGGCAATTGCATCTAATAATATTTCGCCAAAATAATCGCATTTGTCTTTTAATAAGTGATGCAAAAAAAAAGAAATTTTATCAAAGTCTAAGATCATTAAACCACGGATGCCTTAGTGCTGCCTTGGCTGAAATACGCTCCGCCGGATCGTACTTAAGCATTCTCATGAGGAGATCAATTCCTTCTGCGTCTAGGCCTGGTATTATTTGATCAAGGTGTTTGGCTGGCCATTTCGGGAATACATCACGATAGTCTGGCAAACGCGACACACCCGGCCAGGAACCCTCGCAATCTATTGGTGTTCCTAGAACCTGAAAGATCTCAAAGAGCTGCCCAATTTCACTGTCGCCACGAAACATAACCTTCCCCCTCGCGAGCTCAGCAAAAATACAGCCAACACTCCACATATCCACAGCCGGTGCGTAGTGTTTTTCCCCGAGTAGAATTTCCGGGGCTCGGTACCATAAAGTCACTACTTCATGGGTGTAGGTGTGCATAGGGACCTGAAAAGCACGCGCGAGACCGAAGTCGGCCAGTTTCAGGACGCCGTTTTGAGTGAGCAGAATATTGGCTGGTTTGAGATCACGGTGGACAATACGATGTCGATGGCAAAAAAAAAGGCCATCCAGCAACTGAAAAATAAGCCGCTTTAGCTCCATGCCGGTGAAAGGTCCATGCTTTTCAAGCGCCTTTTTCAAATCGCGGTCGACGAATTCAAAGATGAGGTAAAGCTTACCGTCAGAGCAGATTACATCCAGCAAATTAACGATGTTGGGATGATGTACCTCTTGTAGGACCGAAACCTCCCGCAATGCAGTTTGGGGAATTCCTTCATCGTTGCGATCAAGCCGAACTTTTTTCAGTGCAACCACCTGGCCGTTCGTTCTGTCAACCGCTCGATAAACAATACCGTAGGTACCCTCACCTAAAACATCTAGCCTGTTGTACCGTTCAACGCTTTCACGAGTATTACTGGTGAGAGGACGGTTGGATAAAGCGCCGGCAACGGACATTTTGTCGGCACGTTCAGTAATAAAGATAAATATGCTATGTTAAAACTACATACGACACAACGAGAAGAATAAAAGAGAATTATACGTTGGCTAATAGAATATATGAAATCGATACGACTTGGGTATCAATAAAAATAGGACAAATTTATTAGATATTTAGATTTAAATTGACTGAAAATATATTCATATAACCCTATTGAATGCATACTAACAATTATCAACCTGGAAAAAGAAAACTTGGAGATGCTATTGCCCTATATTCGCGATTATTTGTTGAGGTTAGGTTAGTTATGTTTAAGCATTGAATAAACGTTCGATTGCAAATGATACATTTCCCTGTGATTGCTGAAGTGCAGCAATATTTGCGTCTTCGTTCGGGAACCCCATCTCCCTAAGCTGCTGTAGTTGCTCCCTATAGATCACACGTGGGTCGCCTTGAGGTTGGGGCATAGGAAACATACTGGAAAGGGGGTAGCCTCCAGGAACGCCCTGAGGAGTGCTACTGTTGTTTCCTACGCCGCCAATGTTAGGGTTACTCGCCGGAGCTGTATTTGCGTTGCCCGCCCCGGAGTAAATGGACATCATCTGTCTAATGATTTCTGGGTTACTCGCCATCTGCATCGCTTGTTGCTGCACCTCTGGGGGGATATTTGAAAGCATTGGCTCATACTGCACCAGCTGCTGCATAAGGGCGGGATTTCTCATGACCTCCTGGACAAACTGCATGGTCATGGGATTCTGCAACATCTGCATGGCGTCGTTGGGGGGTTGGCCCCAACCCATCCCCATCATCGCAGAGGCCCACGGATTGGTCATCGAATTGGCTGCATTATCGGCACCTCGGGTCGGTGCTTGTGGACCTCCGTAACCGCCGAATAGCGCTGCGTACGGATTTGAAGAATAATCCGAAGGGTTGCTGCTGTTGCTTGGGGTGCCACTTTGCACTGCGGTGGGCCCACTCTGGGTCTGAGCCGGTTGAGTAGCTTGTGTAGCAGATGAGGGAACTTCCTTTTTCTTACTTCGAACAATGTGAACTGCATTGCCGTGCTCCATCCCAACGTTCGATAAAATGTCTTCATCCTTTAGAACCTTTCCTCGAAGCACCACCCGCTGTTCATCAGCCGGAATTTCTATAACAGTCTCAGAAAGCTTTTTGAATTCCGCAACAGTGATCCCCAAATTAGGAACCTCCAAAGACTTTTGGGTCCCATTCACAAGCTTTAACGTTATACTCATACGTAACAACAACAATAATAATAATATGTAGACGTATATATCGATTGCGTGCTTATGGGTAAGATAATTGAGAAGCGTTATGATGAAAATATAAGAAGAAAGGTTAAAGAACAATCAAATCAACGAAAAATTAACCAACCATTGGACTCATTCTGAACAAGATTAACTAAATACGAATTTTCATTGAATTTAAAAGGATGACGCAGTCTTTTCAGAAAAAAAGAATCCAAAAGAATTCGAAAGAATTCGAAAATGCAAGATGTAATATACAAAAGTGAAAAATAATATTTAACCATAGACTATTGCAATTCTTTTAAAATTGTGTTGTAAAAGAAAAAATGTAGAAATTTAATATCCTCCGATGTCAAATATTGTTCCATACCATTTACCCTATTAACACCAAAACTGACCATTTCATAAACCCGTAAGAATCTTTCACTTTGACTTTCAGGTAATACACCCTTAACACATGATAAGCAGCACCGCATCGACATCAGCTCTGCACATTTACCATGTGAGCGCTGCAGCACACTCCGAATCTTATGAATCATTTCGGCACAATCCTGTTTAGAATCTCTAGAATTTGCTACAACAGCTGGAATAATACGACCACATTGGGGTGGATTGACTATTCGATATTTATGCTCATTCAATCCATTTTCAACAATTTTTCTTCGACAATCTGTTCTCGGTTTACTAAGAAAAGGCATCCCATCAAAGCGTGTTTGCCGGTGGACTCGCAAAAGCTGATTGTGTCGATCAGCCGCCCGGTAAAATAATTGAACAGCGGTAAAAAATCCCATTACCAAAGAAGAAGCAAGGGAAATAATCACCTCTATATATGACATACTTGAATGGACATTAAACGAGCCTTAAGGAGGACCAATACTGATCCCAGTGGCTGATACCTCAGTGAAACGAGACTAGCTGAAATTTTGTTCTATATATAAAATTATTTTCTTGCAGAAATTTTTCAATTGGTACAGATCTTGAGCCCCTGTGAATAGAAGTACGAGATAAAAAATATATAGATAGGGATGAAAAGTTCTATACACTAGAAATATAGAAAAAAATAGCTGACAGTTTTGGGGGGGTTGCATTTTGTGGAACTGGAGGTAATAGATATTCTTAATCCATACGCGACACGACAAGCCGTGCTTATCAGTTGACCCAATCCTCCCCTTGAACAGATTCGTTTTTAATTCATTATCATCATCACAATTTCAAACACGCTGACAGAATTGAAGATTCGAATTATTTAAATGGGAATTAAAATATATTTTGTCGTTTCATCGATAACTGTTGTGTTAAAATATAGTGTAAAATGGAAAGGCACTCCCTGGGTGCTTGGAATAATCTTGTATGCAAGACTAAAATCTCCCCGTAAAGGGGGATACAAGAATGTATCGTATTACACTCAGTGTAAGGATTGGTGAGTCCATAGGTAGCTCCCAAACGCTGAACGGTACCTGAGTTAAAGATAGTTTTCTAAAACTTTCAGTGGCAGCGGCGTTCTCGTTACAAAACATATCGAGCCTCACTAGCCCCAACCACTCACTTATTCCTCACATAGGCACCCTTCCTTCTTTCCGTGACTCGATAAAAAAAAATCCAGGGGTTATTGAGTAAAAGTGAAAAATAAAAAAATATACCTCTTGAAGTCAACTAAAAAAGTAATTCAAAACCTAGATGGAAGTGTGTCTATACATGCAAGCATGAGAATAATACTAATTATAATCATAGGAATAATAATGATAACGAAAATAAACACTTACGAATAGTAAAAAAAATTCGATCCGCACAGTAAATGCTCTTTCTCGTCTCTCACTCGAGTTACCACTCGCATCACAAGGGAAATGGGAGTGCACTCCTTGGGTTCTTCCAGAGTATTTCTTGACCTTATAGTGCGACCTACGTATTTGAAGGAGGACAGTTCGGTCGCATTATAAAATAAATCGATGCAGTTTGTTAAACTTGGGTATAAATATCTGTTAAAATAAAGGTAATCATGGGAGTTAACGGGAATTCGTGTATCCTGTCACAGATTCATTAGCGAAGACGCGCCCCGCTGCTCTGAAAAAGCACGCTAAACTGGAAAAAAATAAGTTAACGCATCTGAAAATAACTGCTACATAGTGGCACGATATTGTCAACAATCGGTTTCTCCATTTTTTCACTTCATATTCACATTCAAATCAGAACTAGCTATATATATATATATATATAATAATATTTTTGTTTTATATTTCCCCGCACGTAACGCCCTTTTTAACCTTGTTGCGGCGGGATCTGTAAGCAAATAAAGCCCAATATAGGCCCTAATGGACGAATCCGGTTATCTAACAATAAAGTTAACCCGCAGGCACACATGAATAGAACAAGGAAAGTGTCCTCTGAAGTCATTCTACCCTTCTGGATCGCGTATGTTTGCTTGTGCTAGATTCGCGGAGAAAAAATGCCCTTCGCGGTACTTGTGGCTGCTTGAATCCCCATGAGCGCACTTCTCGCGGTCTAGAAAGAAGCTCTAATTGTCACCCTCGCTTATATGACAATGTGGTCGGTAGTTCTTAGTGGGTTGATAACACATACGGAGGGTTATCGTCTTCTGAGAGGTCTTCCTTAAAACCGACCGGAGCGTGTCGTATAGGAATCAATGCGATCAGCAAAATCGCTTACTGACGCTGCAGGCTGGTCTAAATTGCACAAGGGGTACTAAGTATAGACTTAGATTAGAAAATCCGTTAGAGAATACTTCCGAGGAACCCCTCACTTTACTGGCTTGTTTTTTTCCTCTATACTTATCTGAAGCGCATACCAGGAATAATGGTCTCAAGATGGAGGATCAGGAAGCCTATAATAATGCCAATGATATAAAACATGACCTGGTAGTGTAGCTTCAACCACTATAAAAGTCATGTCGGGGACCTCTATTTGCCTGACACCATCCTTGATGGGCTTAAAGTGTATGATGCTCACTTAAGTAATGTACAAATAGTGATTCAGCGCGGCCTCCGAATTGGTCCTGACTCTCTTATTAAGGACAATGAAATCTTTGACCGAAACCCTCCTTCGATTGTATGGATAGCTGAAAAGTGAACAATGAAGCACACCGCCATGCTGCTCAGGGCATTTAATTAGCTCAAAAGGTTAATGAGAAAAATGTGCGCGGAGAACGATAGGCAAGCGCAGCATGTAACACAATTTTGAAGTCTGACCATCTACCTTAGTCAACACGAATTCCTGAACCTCCTTGGTAAATCGCGGAAGAGTAATAAACAGCAGCCTTTCATGCTCCTGTTCAGGGGTAAGCCTCAGGTCTGCAGGTATTTTGCCGACAGGGGCAGCGTACACCATGTAGCTGATGTACCATCAGTTTTGCTGGTCCACATCAATATCGGAATGATCTGAGAGTATTATGGATCTGTATGCAAAGCATTCTGAAGGTCGATCGGCACATACCTCGGGGCCTTGCTTAGTTCCTGGAAGGCGCCTGCCGTTGGGATCAATGATTTAAAGATATTCAAGTACGATTCCCACAATTCGACAGGCTAACATATAGTGACCGTGGCGTTACCTACGAAAAGCTGTGTGGTTGCAAGGTGGGAAACGCCCTGACTTGCTTTCTAAAGGTATTGTGCATCAGCTTACTCAGGTTGGTAAGAGTAGACCCAATAGTTATATGCCAGGGGTCTGACGCAGCCAAGTTTTTATCTGCGTAAAGTAGTTTCACGTCGAGACCGATGCAGTCGGGCACCAGATAATAAAAGCTCGTGTCTATGACATTCAGAGCAGAGAAAAGAATCACGAAGGGCGGAAAAGTGTCTGTTAGATTTTTAATACCTGCATCCTTTACGCAGAGATATGTGCACTTCAGTTGTTACCGCTCGGGCAGCACATATGACATAATGTCAAGCATGCTTACTGCTTCATTTTTTAAAAGATACACTTCAATCATGAAAATATATCTACTACTTTATATATACAAGTAAAAGAACTTAATGAGAAAAATTACCAGACGTTTTTAATCATTAAGCATATTTTTTCGGTTCTAGTAGTAGAATATATAGAAAGAGATATGCAAAATGATATCTTTTTTGTTTAATATACCAGTTGATTTAGATTATTTGGTAAACTATTGAACCTCAATTGTGAGTGTGGTATGTATATTCTCAGGTTTTAGTTAACACCGAAAGTACCTCAATAAAGCCTATAGACCCGCTTCACTCTTTCCCAACATGGGAGTCTGTTTACTCTCAAAGGAAATTTTATGGCATCAACAAAAATACAATCTGGATATTCTGATACCAACAGAAATGTGTATAATTATATTTGCATCTGTTATGCTATGAATTCTCTTGAAGATCTTTACATTAGTTTAGCTGGGTATTTTTCGCAACTTACAGCATCGCACATTGGCATAGAATAATGAAGCGTACTAAGTAATTGAACAGTGGTTTTGGATAAAATGTGAACCTAAAATATAGAATAATAGATAAGCTTTGCTTAAACAATAATCTAGAAAATGTGAAGGTATTACTAAACATTCAACAACCTGTTCCGACATAGAAAAGAGCTCGATTCGCGACTTTAACCTTGAGTAACTAAGGCTCCACAAATGAATATCGTTTACATAGCTACAGGCTTGTTGTAATCCTACGCGTGTAAAACAGACTTCAATATTCAGCTAATGAATGTTAAGAAAAACATTTAATTTCTATCTCAGAGTGGATAGATACATATCCTTTATGGGTAAAGTTTTCTAATATCGCTACCAATTTTGTCTAAAAAAGTAATGATAATTTTATATCGTATTGTATATTAATCACCCAATATCCTTCTTGCAACCCACGTTTAAAAAAAAATGAATCAGGATTTTCCCATCTCATTTGTAGAGAAATCTAATAACGTGTTTCATGCATATAATCGTATAGCATGCACGAACCTCTCATTTTGAGCACTGAAAAGTGGGAAATGAAATAATGCCAACAAAAGGATAAATTCAGTTCTTTACAGGTGCACATACAAAAAGTGCATCGATATAGTCATTTCCCACTAGTTGAAGAGGCTAATAAGTTATTCCCCTCGGAATTTTTCATCTGATTCGCTTTGTTTGGCTAGCAGTCTTTAGCATTATAAAAGTTAAAAGTAGAAGATTATTCCTGTGCATAAATACAAATTGGACTAATTCTACTTTTCAATAGTGATATTAAAGGAAGAGAAGGGGTCGTAAAAAAAAAAAAGAATAAATAACCTGTTGAAATTAAGTTGACAAAGTTGTACATTATTATATTTTCCTCTAAAAAAAAACTTTCTTTTCGAGTTGTGCATAGATAATTGAACCTGAAGTGCTGGGTTTCAGACAGATAATTACTTTTCTACTATTGTAAAACCCTAGGAAAACATATCGTGGCTTCAAGTTCTACTTATATTTGGTTGGGCATATTGCTCAACATTTAGATAATATCAAACAGTAATGAAAAAATTATCGTTTGGAATAACGAAAAGTATAGTAACTTTGAATTTCTTTTTGTTTATGTGCATACTGATTGGCGGTTAAGATTGCCACCTCTATTGACTAATATTATTTGTTAACTCAGTGTTGAAAGTAAGTTGAGTTAAACAATTCATATTTTTATACAGAAGGCATATATTGGGATGCGTTATATTTCTTTACTGTGAAATCAGCAACAAGTAAGTACTAACTATTGAAATTCAGAATTTTTGAACAATTTCCTTGTGCGCGTCAGATGAAAAGAATGGAACCAGATGAAGCAATAACATTGACCCCTATGCATAGTTTCATTTCCTATGCCTGAATGGCATCTAATTCTTATGGCAGAACAGGAATGGCTACATAGCTCACTTCTTAACCATAGAATAACTTTGTTTCATGTAAACCTCCAATTATAAATCGAGATATCTAGTGGAAGGGTATAAAGTATTCGGAAACAGGCATCGCTCAATGCCATGAGTGATCCATGCCTTTTTGTTTAAAAGGTGGCCATTCACTATTAATTAAGTATATGTTAATTTCAAGAAGAAGCAGGTGGGGACACAATGAAAAAGCGATTGTATGAACCAGATGATTTGATCCTAGTCATGCTTCATTACGTACAAATGTTCTTGCCTTGTGAGCCAAAGAATGCAAAAGCATGTGATAGGAACCATAGGAGGCAAAACATGAAACCTCATTTTTCATACTATGAACATAAATACGAGATCCAAGACTTAAAACTAATCATGGAAGAGGAAAAGGAGCAAGCCACAATGACTAAAAACCAACGGCCTCGGCAATGTCCTTGGCGGGGGCCCCTCCTTGCCCCGCGGGCCCGGCGGAAACAAATGGGCAAACAAACAAACGAAAAACTACAGAAAAACAAGATAATTAGGTAGTCTAATACGTCTCCTAGAATTTAACACATCAAAATCATCCATCATAGGTATTTTCTTCACGCTGCGAGCGGATAGCCGGGGGAAGGGCCCCGAAAGCAGCGCGGGGCCTGGCACCCCGCCCCCCCCCCTTGGTATATTTTTGAGGTAGAAGACTAGGTTCAATATAACGTTACTCAAATTCTGAAGAAAAGCATCAAATAGCTGTATACTTAGTGTGATGCGGGGCAAGCATCATGGCCACCCCCCTGGTTCACTAAAAAACGAACGTGGGGTCGGGCGGGGCGACGCCGGCCCGCCGCGCGCCTGGCAGGCATAACGAATTAAGAATATACTGCGGGTATAAAATATCATGAAACACCAGTAGAAACCTCAAAATAAATACCAAATGAAACTTTTTACTACAAGGCATGCGGCGAATCCTTGGTTGAATTCGGCGCGCCGTGGGCGGCTCCGCGTTTGTGCGCAATAGGAAGCAGGCCAAAGGGAACGTGGGGCGCGTTTTTAAAATGTAAACATTAGTTCTTCCTTTTAGTTTAACACATAAAGCAGACTTTGAAAACATTTCAAAGCGTTAAACTGCTACAATAGCGATGGTAGCATTGTAAAAAATATCGCTGTATATGTTATGCGCCTTCTTGTGGTGCCGCGGGCCGGTGTCCATTTTATGGCGAATCCAAGTGCCCACGGGCCTTCCTGCCACTGCCAGGGGCATGGCTGCTAGTACCGGTGGGGCATTCAACATGGCCTGCCAAGATGGTGGCCGAGCAGTTGAAACACTCCGACTGAACACTTTTAACGAATGTTTCGTCTCCGGATACAGAATAAAAACGCCTAGGGGGTTTGGACCTTGTCTTTTGTTTTTTTTAGCGCCAATTGGCGCCACGGGCCCCATGCTGGGACACAATGTAAAAAGTACAAAATATCGAAATTTTGATTGCACTGTTCGAATTTTGGAGCTTCTCTGCGCGCGAAGGATTGAAACAAATTTATAAAGGAATATTTCATGGAGTGATTCACATAAGAGGTTAAGATCAGAGCGACCGTTGGTAAAGCATGAATTTCTACAAAGCCATGGCTGGTTTATGAATGCGGGGCGGGCTTGGGAAACACCCCCCCTCCCCCCTCTTTTTTCGTGATCATAATCTCAAATTTGAATGTTTCCATTGCTAATTGCGCCATAAATGATGATAATTCTTCGGTATTAGGGGATTCTCATTTACCATTTTTTAGTTTTGTCCAATAAATTTTTGAGCGAAAATGGCCACACGCGAGGGTTTTAAATCACACCTGGTGACGCTTTTGGGTTCCCCGGGGGCGCTGGCGGAACTGGAATGGCATCCGACTTTGAATATAATTACAATCAGGCGAGGAGGTAAATGAACCATTTTTCACATATGGAGGCTATTTCTAAATCCCCAGATGTGTGCCTTGGCTTTGGGCAATGGAGGTGCTTGGTCTGAAGTTTATACGGGCCCCGGGCGTGCTTGCTCGTCCTGCCCCTGGGGTTGGGCGTGCCCCACGGTATGCTTATCACACTTATCGTTCCTGGATGTGTAATTTTAAAATGCTTCGGGTACCTGGAATATCCAGAAACAGTGAGCGGCAGAAGCCTGCGGCGTGTTGGTTTGTAGAGGGCTTCAATTGAATTTTCATTATGTGAAATAAAAAAGTCATGATTTCTCACGCAAAAAAGTAGATAAAAGAAGCTTGTGAAACCTAAGATTTCATATGTCTCACGTGGGGCGTAAAATTTACGGGCATCACTTGGCTTGATTCATAAAATAAAGCGGGAGCTTGTGTGGTGAATTAAGGCTGACGCGCTGTCATTACGGCTTTAATAGCTTTATTTTGGTGGTTTTTCTGTTCTTCGTCTTTCCTTTTAAATGCTAGCAGTTATATCTACATACATGGTAATTTTTTTTTTTAATATACACGCTGTAAGTATTTTATGTTGCAGTACGAAAGTAGCTCTTGTTCCTTCTTTACAAGAGGAGAAAAGTTGATCGAGGTTTCCCTTTATTATTATATTTTGTGAAAACAAAGCCTACGTTTTTTTCTTCGAATGTTGAGCTAACTGCGTCAATTTCTTTTCAAAAATTTCCTCTAATTTATCCCTCAGAATTTAGAATTTTTTTTTGAAACCCTTTCATGACTATTATTTCATGAACCTAAACTTTAAAGCCGATATTCCGCATAGCGTCGTTAGTGAGGCACTTAATTTCTATGTGTCAATTGAAACCATTGATGGAGGCACTGTAAGAGGAAAGCTAATTGGCTATGACGATCATACAGGCAATGCTGAACTAATTGATGTAGAATGTCAGTCTCGAGACTCTTCTCTTTCAGTTTCCGAGCGTTTTTTTCTGAAGGGTTCAAATATTCGTATTATTCACTTACCTTCCGACTTGAGTAAGTCACCACTTTTAGATTGGCAAAATAGTTCTTTACGGCAGGCATTAAAGAAAAGCATTAAGGCGGATCGAGGTGTTAGAAAAAGTAAGCCGGTCGTACACACCAATAAAAAGTTATTGAAACGACGGAAGGAAAAATAAAATTGAAACCGAAATTTTTTTAGAAAAAATAATTTAATACTATTAGAATTTTTATATCAAATTCTATGCATATTAAGGGAAAAAATAAAAAAACCTGAATATTGGAATAAGCTTTCCTCTGTTTTCTTATTCTTAAGAATTCTCTTTTATTTGATCACTCATGATTCCATTAAAATAGGAGCATATAATTTCATAGTCAAAATGAAAATGGGTGATTTGTTGGCGAGACCGGAGAAACAGAAGTTTTCAACTGTATTTGAAACGACTCATTTACGTGTAGGCTGCTGTAGTATGCAAGGATGGAGAAAAACAATGGAAGATGCTCATGTGGCGCAACTAAGTTTGAATGGGAAAAAGACTCGTGCGTTTTTTGGAGTTTTTGATGGGCACCAGTCTGATGAAGCCGCTCATTACTGCCGAGCTCATATGCTTGATGAATTAATAAAAGCAATTAACGATACGAATGGCGAATATAAGCAGGCATTTGAGAATGCGTTTCATTCAATAGATGAACAAATATGTCGTAGGTTTTCTTCAAGCGGAACTACCGCAAACTGTGTGCTTTTGATGGATAAAAAAATAATTTGTGCAAATGCTGGTGATAGTCGAGCAGTATTATTTCGTGATGGAAAAGCCATTCCTCTTAGTACTGATCATAAGCCAACACTCGAGGAGGAAGAGGCTCGTATTAGGCGGGCTGGGGCACAGGTTGAGAATGGGAGGGTAAATATGACGTTGGCAATAAGCCGTGCTCTTGGTGATGTTGATTTTAAAACAAATAAAGCGTTCTCTTGGAAAGAACAAGCTGTTACTGCACTCCCTGATGTGACTCAGTATGAAGTTCAAGGCAATGATGAGCTGATTATTTTGGGTTGTGATGGTATTTGGGATGTGCTTTCAAGTCAGGATTGCTGTATGCAAGTTCATGAACTTCTGCATAAGAATGAGGTGAGAGATTCAAATTGCGTTGATATTAGTCTTGTATGTGAGCAAATATTAGATAATTGCATAGCTCAGTCTAACACAGCTAGAGAGGGCACTGACAACATGACAATTATTATTGTTGAATTCAAAAAGCCTTTTCTTTTCCAATAATTTTTTAAACTTCCACAATGTACTGGATTTTCTCATTCACTTCCCAGGGTTCCACAAACTGATCAAGAAGTAATTGAATTGGCATTTTAAATGTTCTTATAATTATTGTTATATAACAAAACGATTCCTAGTTTTCGACTGCATTTATGATATATACGCATTCTTGTATTCCTTATGAAGGTTTCCTAAAAAAAATCTTCCGAGGACAATGAAATATGTGCGCACCTGATGTTTTGTCTGTCATTAATAACAACTTATTCTGCAACTTAAATTTTAATATCTACTTTTGAATCTCCTCTTTTGAAGTAAAAAATTGTGACAAAGAGGTTACCTCTTAGAAATTACATAATCATGGGGCTTTCTGATGCGGCCGATGAACTAAAACTTGTAATTTCAATTTTTCAAAAATTAATGCAAGTGAAGGATGGTCAATTAAGGGACGACCAAATTACTCCATTGATAAAGCGTCTTCAGTCAGTTTCGGAAAAACTTCAAAATGATGTGACGTCTGAAAGAAAAAATCACTTGTCCGTTTTATCTGTTCCGAAAATGGAAATACCTAGTAAACCCAATGCTGTACTTCACATGCGTTCCATAAGAAGTTCTGAAGATGCTCACAAACCAAAGAATTTTGTTCTAAGCAAACCCTCTAGCCTGCGTGTGAAATCCATTCCACAGGTGGCTTCACGGTCCGGAGAACTTCCAATGCCGAAAGATGTAGCCAACTCATTTGCGTGCACTCTGTATAATATACTTGAGGGTACAGTGAAACTTGTGCAGGCATCGTCTGGAAGTATTTTTATGAGAAAGGGTGATGAAATGTTTTCCATTTGCAATGTAAGTCGAAATCTTATATTTCCACCAATTGTCAATAGTCACCGCTGCAGTGGGTCAGTAGATGCAGAAGTGTTGGGTAGCTGTATTGCTTTAAATCGGTACTCTTTTGACGCTTCTCAAAGTCCGACTTCCATGCTAGTCTTTCCCGTACGTCTCCATCGAGAAGAACTGGTAAGCGATAGCAAGGCAATCGCAACACTACATATTGAAGGAAAGAATTTAAGTTCTCAGCCCTTTGGAATTCATGATGAGAGCATTGCTTACTTTTCATCTATCCTAATTGGTGAACTTATTTCCAGAGCACCACAACTTGACTGGTTCAATACTTTTTATGAACCAATTACTCAACACATCGTTGCACCTTTTTCTCCAGCAAAACCAGCACTCCCTGTTCTGCGGAAACCTCCGAAAGAAGTTACATTAGGCCAATCCTCATCATTTAGTGCCTCACTCGACGCAGTCAGCAATTCAGTATTTCACGAAGTCCAGCAGTTTGTCCCACAACCACTAATAAAGAGAGAAGTACTTTCTCAGAAAACATTAATGCCGATGACTAGTGGGCTTTCTCTCGCGCCCTCCTTGAGGGAGGTAAGGAGTTTTGTGGATAACATTCATAGTTGCTGGAAAAAAGGTGTTGATTCTAATATAAGCTTCCTAGCAAAAGAACGTGAGATTGAAATGGAATTAAAGAGGTTAAGAACAAATCTTGACAATACAAAGAAGGAATTGGAAGCCACAAAAAATAGATTGAGACTATATGAATTGGATGGCTACGATTACAAGAGGGAGTATAAGGATTTATGTGTAGAACTTGAGTCCTTTCTTCGCCAACGCAATACTTGAGTATTATTATTATCGCATTCAATTCAATGTATTAATAGCTAGTCTTTCAAAATCTGTGTATAGTTGTAAAATATGTTTATTATTGCGATATTATTACTGCAACTTCCTTTTAAGGTGTTTCCAGCTTTATGTTTAGGGAATTTACATGAGCTAACCTATTAAAATAGTAACAGTGAGCCGATATGGCAAGCGATTTTTTCCGCCATTAACTCAGCCATTTATTTAATGTTCTTCAGATTGTTATCCTTTTTCTTTCGCTTTTTCGTTTTCTCTTTTTTCTTTTCTATTTTTCGACGCGGAATAAATTTCTTTATACGTGCGATGGTATACTCCTAATAGTAATCATTAGACAAAATTTTCGACAATATATACGGCATCCCATATTTCTTACTTTTCCCTTTCTATATCTGCAAGGGACGTATATGACTGTAGAAATGAGTTGTAAACCCACTCCCCTTGTTCCAGATTGGGAAGCCCTGAAGGAATGCGGTAACCATGCGTTTAAGAGTAACTTGTTCAAAGATGCTGTGGATATCTATAGTAAGGCTATCAACGCTAAGGCTGACGAACCAGTACTGTATTCCAATAGAAGTGCTGCATTTCTGAAACAATCAGAGTTTAACCAAGCTGCTGTGGATGCTAAGAAAGCAGTAGACTTGGATAAGACCTTTATTAAGGCATATTCCCGTTTACATAGTGCACTCTGTAATTTAGGTGACTTTAGAAGAGCTGCTGAGGAAATGAAAAATGGTGTTATTGAATTTAATGCAAAATCCAGTGATGCCAAAGCAGAAGAAGATCTGAAGCTTCTAAAGGAGCTGCGAACTAGTGCAGAGAATGCTGATAAAGCCTTTCGACGAGCTGAACAATTAGTAGCAGATGGCGATCACCAGGGTGCATGTCGTGTTGCATCGGACGTACTGCGGCAGTTTCCTAATTGCGCATCAGTAGCGTTTCTTTATGCTGAGTGTACTGTTTTCAAGGATCCTGAGACCACAAGCAAGCTATTAGCTCAGTTTGCCGATCGGTACTCTAACAACTCGCATTACTTATACCTCCGTGCTTTAGTACTATATTATCGAGGCGACAGTAGCTTTGCGATTGCACAAGAATTGCTCAAACAAGCCCTGGAGTTGGATCCCGATAACAGCAAATTTTCTGTTCTTCTTAAGAAAATTCGAAATATCGAGAGACACAAGGAGGCAGGGAACAATTTTTTTCGGCAAAAATGTTCTAGGGAGGCTATCGAGGAGTATACTGTTGCTATTCAGGCTGACACGACGAATGTTCGCGTTAACGCTATCATCCGTGGAAATCGTGCTGCTGCGCGGATGGATGTTAAGGATTTTCAGGGGGCCTTGCTTGATTGTGATTATGCGATCAAGAATGGTGTAGACAGCGCGAAACTTTATGCGCGCCGCAGTCGCGTTCGGGAGCGCCTGGATATGTACGATGACGCTCTTCATGACATGCAACATGCAGCGGAAATAGATAATAAATTTACAGCCGAGCTGCAGCAATTGAAAGTGCGCGTCAAGCGAGCCAAGCGTTGTGATTACTACAAGATTCTAGATCTTTCGCCGAATGAATCGGACGACAGTACCATCAAGCGTGCATATAAGAAAGCGTGCCTGCAATGGCATCCCGACAAGTGGGCTCATGCCAGCGAAGAGGAGAGGGCTCATGCCGAGAAAAAGTTCAAGGATATTGCTGAGGCGTTTGGTGTTTTGTCCGATCCCAAGAAAAAGCGTCTCTACGACTCTGGTCAGATGGACAATGATGTCGAGGGGTCGTATCAAGCCTCGACTGGTTTTCCAGCTGGAAATGAAGATGTTATTAACATAATGAATATGATGTTTAGTGATGGAAGGATGGGTGGATTTTCCAATGGGACCTTCCAAAGGACTACTTTTGGACGTGGGGGTAAGCGGCGTGGCAATGCTAACAGTTTTTTTACTTATTCCCAATTCTAAATCCTTGACGCCTTGAAGTAAATCTTTAAGGTTTACGATATTTTTTTGTATGCTTACTGTAAACAGAAAAATGCGTGTGTTGATGTTTGCTATTGTAAATTAGTAACTTACAACGTTCTTCTTTTCATTTGATAATAAAATAGCGCAAAACATATGCGGGCACGTGCATTTCAATGATGTAGCAACGCATATTTGAAATAATTTTCGTGAATACCGATATTTTCCTTCTGTTGATTCAGACTTCTATAAAAAAATCGTTAACCGAGTATTAATATGAGTTGTCTCAGAGGGCATGTTTATAAGGGTGCTGGGGAAATTGAATTTCTAAAAAGATAATAAAATTCAAGAGGAGCGAATCTTTGGTCTTCGAGGGAGACCCGCCCAAAATAGTATATCTATCGTGAAAACTAATGCGTAGTTTTTGAGACTGTCTTCATTCGCATGGAAAGAGCTTTTACAGAATTTCGTTTCTTGTAAATTTTTACTGCCTTGAAATTTAGGGTTCGGAATCACACCTCACAATATTATTAGACATTTTTTTTCAAGTGTGAGTGTGCTGCTTGAACATATTGCATCATGCATATATAGAGAGGGGTATAGTATAATAGAAAAGTAACCCAAAAGAGAGACATATATACCCCTTTAGTTGCCAATGTGTATGTCTAGGCGTTTCATTACTTGTCCTCTCTGTGGACGTGGTTATGGATCCGCTTCTATTAACATACACATTCCTCAGTGCTATGAAAAGGCACTTAAGCGCTGGAAAGTTGATCCCATCGGTCCGCGGCCTGTGATGCCACCACTGAATGGATGTAAAAATATGACAACTTTTTCAGGAGGCCCTAAGTTCGGTGACGAGCAGCCGTGCGGCTCCGGCCCGAATGCCGCTCGGTCTCTGCGCACCAACCTCGAGCAAGGTGAGTTCTCTTGCGAAAACGCAAATCTTCATGCATGCTCCAAGTGTGGACGTAGGTTTATTTTTGATCGCATCGGTTATCACGAAAGCGTATGCAAAGGAAATATGAAGCGCCGGGTTTTTGACAGTAGCAAGCAACGGAGAACCGATGACGAAGGGTTTGGTGCTGGAAGTGGCAACGTTAGTTGGGGCAAGCGAAATCAAAAAAAGAAAACTGAAGTTAGTAAATCCGTTGGAATTTCGGGAAGTCAAAAGATTAGCACATGGAGACAGCAGCATGAAGAGTTCATCCAAGCGATTAGAGGTGCTAGAAAGGCAGATGCACAATTGCGGCAAATGTGGGGCGTTAAAGAATTTAACCAGGAACCCTTTCCGGTATCTCATTCAGGTGCAACATCTCTATCGCGGCGAGCAGGCGTTCCCGCATCAATGATTCGGCAAAGCACAACTCGCAAGTCGATCATGGCACGCGGGGGTAAAGCAGGATGGGAGGGTCCCAGTTTTCATCGGACTCCTCCTCCAAATGCTGATGCCTTTCAGCCGTCTATACGTAATCAAAATAGTTGGAGGCCCCCTCCAAGAGCTACTTCCAGAGGTGATTGCCACCGTGGTGCAGGGGGTGGCGGTTTTGGCTCTGGCGGAGTTCAAATTGCGAATACCAATGCAACGAGCCTTGGCATGCTTCAAGCCTTTGGCCGTGCTTAAAAGGAGGGAGCTAAGCTCCTTGATTGATCGTTTTTTTTAGCTTTTCGTCGGATGTAAAGAGAAATTTCGAGCTATAGAATCCGTAAAGCTCACAGAGAGATCACACTCAATTTATAGGAACAATAATTTGAACGAGAGGAGTAAAATTGGAAATTTTCACTTGTTTCAGACTCTCAACATATTAATCCGCGTTATGTTATAAAATCACGTATGATGATACAAAGCATAGTATATCTTTTCAAATCAGTTAATATTGTCTTTCATGCATCCCTAGTGTTCTATTAGAATCGTTTTCCTTTTTGAGGGAAAATATCATTGCTACTCTTATTGCAGGAAATTTCAAGTTTTTTGTGCACCGTTCTGTGTTATTTTGTGCCCGTATTTCTTCTCATCTTTTTAATAGAGGGTGGCATCCTTTGAGCAGACCGACAAGCTTTCTCGATAGTTGATTTTATTTAGAAGCGCAATCTAAATGCACTTTTTTTTATGTTTATTTTATTTATTTCTCAAATAAACATTCAAACCTATCCCATTAGGTAAAATATTCGCTTTTTTTTTCGTTCTTCACGCTTTGTAAGTCGAAGCCTGCTCAACTAGACACTATTTGTGAACTACTAAACATCGTTCATGATGACAAAACCTTTTTAATGCGACCGAACATAGCTGGTGTAACCATATCATCACGGGTGCTCTCAGAGTCAACGGAAAACTATTATGAATCTTTGCGCACCAATCGTTTCCAGAGTAGACTGATGCTATTGAAAGAGTTTAGCTAACACATGTATTCGTTTTTTTCGGGGGCAAGAGTTTTTATTCTTATGCTACCAACTATAGAGAACAGATTCAATATTCTTAAATATGATGACATACTGCTTCATAAATGCCATATTGATGAACAGGAAGCATTTACTTGATGTCATGGCTGCGGACGACTCCGGTAACAAACTGTGTTACCACTTTGCCTTCTCAACCTCCTGTGTTCCATTCTGTAGCCCAAACTACCACATTCGATGCTAATGAAGTGGAGTTATGCTATGGTCAAAAGTCCTGTATATCATCTTAGTGTTTCGGCTAAAAATACGCTTGTTTTCTTTAACTGAATAAGAAGTGTCGCTGTAAAGAAAAGAGTGTTCAAACATTACTAACTGTAGAGCTATCATCAGGAGCTGATTTACGCTAGGATGCACTTTGCAAAACGAAAGATGCCTTTGTTGTTGTTTCATGAGCATTAGGGTGGTTTGCTCTGAAAATACCCTTAAAGGCATTGAATAATACGATTTTAGACTTTTGTGTCTCTATTTTTCAAGATTTATCCTTCTTTCCCTCTTTCGTTTCACAAATACCCGAATATACGAAATACATTTGTATCACATGATGAGGCAATGTCAGATCCAGCATGCCGCTCCATTTTCTATGGCCGCGTCATGCTCGCACCAATGGTGCGTATCTGCAACCTTGGCTTTCGCATCTTATGTGAAGAACATGGTGCGGATATTGTGTTCTCTGAAGAAGTTGTTGCCGCGAAGCTTTGTCAGTGCCGCAGGGAAGTCCGGTCGTACCCTAGTTTGGAAGAAACGGATATCGCGGAGTACGTTGTTTATGATCGTTACAAAAAAACGTTCAAGCGATCTGTCGTGTTTTCCACACTGGCGCGAAGAAGGGATCCTTTAAAGAGGGGTAGCGGGAGTCGAATATCGGCACCGGTAGTGCTACAACTTGGCGCCTCAGACGGCGGGGTAGCTGCCAAGGCGGTAGCTCTCTGCCATGAGGACATTGATGCCGTAGACGTCAACATGGGTTGCCCAAAGAAGTTTAGCACAGTTAATGGATTCGGCGCCGCATTAATGGATAAAACCGCAGTTGCAGGGAACATTCTGTCTCAGATACACGCGATCGTGAAGGACGTAAAGGCAGGAGGCGAGGACTCGTGTCGATCGGGAAATGGCTTCCACTTTCCAATTAGTTTTAAAACTCGGTTAAAGGGTATGGAACCCTACACGACAGTTATAATGCTAAAAGAAATATTAATGGCATCGGGCCATACACCTAAACACCCAGTAGTGCATGCGATCACCATCCATGCACGGTTGCGCGAACAGCGCTCTGAAGTGCCTCCTTTGTACGATGTGGCTGCGCAGGTTGTCTCGCAGTGCCATAGTGATCCTTATTTTGGTGGTATTTGCTTCGTTTTAAACGGATCGATTCAGTCGCGCGCGGACGGAATTGAGAAAATTAGTCGCTATGGGTTTGATGCGTGCATGATCGCCCGTGCTGCTTTAGTAGACATGACTTGCTTTTCGCCTTCTTACCCGCATCTAGTAGGGACGGGTCATACTGATCGAGAATGCCAGTCGACAGAAGTTAATCATATGAAAATTATGAAGGAAATGCTGCTCTTCGCAATTCGCTATCGGACTCCATTTAAAAACTTTAAGTATCATCTTACAAGGGTCTTTCCGGAGGTCGAGGTCTTAAAGTCAAAGATGCCAACTGTTCAGGAAGGACTACGATCTTACCGCGACTGTTGTGACTTTTTCCAGCTCACACCGGAGGAGTTGGAACTGGTGAAGATGTGCGAAAACGAAGTTGAGCTTGTCGACTCTCCACCTGAAGCATCTTCAACACCACTGCCTCTTTCCGATGGAACATTTAAGGGCAAACAAGAGTACTCACAACAAGAAGTAGATTTAGAGGATCGCGCAAATCAAGTTAGACGCCTCTGCTAGCTTCATATCATAAAATTCAAATACGTGAGTCATGGAGCTTTCATATATGGCTGCCTGACTGTTGGCGTTACTTTTTCTTACTATTTTCCTCCAGATGGAATTTTTATATTTATTGTGCATCATAGGCGTAACTTCGTTTCATATTAACATTATTATTGACTCTTTGGTCTTGTTTGAAATGACATGCTTGATATATTGATATTTTTAATTATCGTTACTAATATTCAATTATCCTTTTTTCTATAGCCTTTTCTTTTTAGATCAATCCTTCATTGTGTCTTCAGTGTAAATATTTAGTCGCGGTGAGTATACATGTCTGACTTATCTATAGCCTTGCAGGGGAATCGCCTCAATTGCATTGATCAAGCATCTAGTTACTTGGATTCCATATTGAGAAAACAAAAAGGCCTAAAGGTACTGCTATGTGATGACCACACGCTTTCAATCTTGAGCGTCGTGTATTCTCAGCATCAGCTGCTCCAGAACGATGTGGTTTTGGTAGATAGGTTGTCCAACAAGGAGCGTTACCCCATGAAATACTTCTCTTGCGTTATTTTTTCTCAGCCATCTAAATCTTCGCTCGCGTGCATTTGCCAGGAGCTGGCGGAGGCTAACTTCAGTTCTTACTCGATTTTCTTTTCCTATCTTTTAGACTCCTCCTTGTTGGAGTGCATTGCTGTCGCAGATCATTTTAACCTCGTTAACTACGTAGGAGAGATATATTTGGATTCAACCCCCGTCACGGAATATGTGTGCATCTGCCAATTGAAACTCAGCTCGCTGAGCCTGGCTCCCACACCTTTAATGAATCCCCTTATGTATGTTCAGTGGGATGCTAATTCGTTTAGTCGGATCACGAAGAGTATCGTTAGTATGATGCTGTTGACCAAACGCCGACCCGTCATTCGATATCGTTCCGAAAGTAAAGTGGTGCAAAAGATTGCAGAAGAAGTGGCCGCATGCATGGGTACGGTACACACAACCTTTCCAGACCTCAAGGCAAAAGAATCCGTGCTTGTTATTTTAGATCGGATGGACGACCCTTTGACACCACTTTTGATGCCCTGGACTTATGAGGCGATGATTCACGAGCTCATCGGGTTTCAGAAGGGAAATGAAGTCGTGATTGATGACCCTGACGCAAGCCCCGAGGAGCGTCTGCACGTTCTTACAGCTCGCATTGATTCTTTTTATGAAAAGCACCGCTATGACGACTGGGGCCACATCTGTGTTGCAGTAAGCGAAATGGTAAATGCCTATAAAGAGATCAATCACATTAATCAGACTACTGTTTCTTTAGAAGAGATCAGGAATTTCATTGTTCGCTTTCCCGAAGCGCGCCGACAGTCTGTGCAAGTATCTCGTCATTGTGGCATTACAAGCCAACTTGTGGCCGAGGTCAAAGGCCGTGGTCTTACCCAACTGTCTACGCTGGAACAGGATATGATCACTCGTAACGACGTCAGTGAACACAGTCGACTGATATTGGAGGCAGTCCGGGATCCGAAAACGGACCTCCGGGATGCTCTGCGCATAGCTATGATTTACAGTCTTCGCTATGAGAAAACATCCGGAAACATTATTATTCGACTCAAACAGGAGCTAGAGAAACGAGAGTGTGCGAAGGAAAAGATAGACTTGATTGATCGCCTGATCGAATATGGTGGACAACAACGACGTGCTCATGAGATCTTTAAGCCTTCCACAGGTCGTCTCCTTAAGTCAGTCCTCAAAACAGTCGGACAATTTGATAAGGATGTACAAAACGTTCTTACTCAGCACACACCGCTCCTTAAGAAGATCGTAAATCGCATCTATAACGGTACACTATCGGAGGAAAAGTATCCTGTTCAGGAGGTTCAGGGATCGCCCATTCCCACCGCTCAGGTACCGTATGTGCGAGGAAAGGATATTATCATAGCCTATGTTGGTGGTATCACTTTTACCGAAGCGATGCTGCTCTGGCAAATTAATCAAGGACTAGTAGACAACAATCTGGAGAGCTTGATGAATATGAGAATTTCGATGTCTAGACGGCTCGCTGGGAATGAGACTGTGGGGCCATCAGAGGAGCCGTACACACCGAAGGTCGATGCTCGGGTATCGCTAATTTCGACGGCTATGATTAACTCTAAGACATTTATTGAGTCGTTGCCTCGATAAAGGGGTTTCAGGCCGGGTATTATAGATTACTAGTGTTTTAATTAGGTAACTATCCTGAGTTCGAATAGTATAAGAAAGAGTAGCCTTGGTCTCTTTTTGTGGGACTTGAATCGGTATGCTCAGATATTTTTGCATGCGCACCCACCTACCCACCCATACATACATATATATATCCATATATATATATGATCAATTTCGGTAGATATCCGAAAAACATTTTTTTATTTCATTACTACAAATAAGGTTGCTTTAAAACTCACTTTTAACGTTTTTTTTGGCAATCTATCTTGCCAAGTGTTAACATTTTTGTGAGGTTGTGTTTCTCGCTTCTAGAACGTCTTTTGGAACGACTCTTTCTTCTCTATGTTTTGTCTATTATTATCAAGGGTTAACCTATCGATTCGTCTCTCGATAAGAAGGCATACTGATATTTTTTACAAATTAATTAGATACTTTAGATTTTTTATTAAGGTACATAGCCCCTTAAAACATTGCTATTATTATTTCCAACGTTAGAACAGTATGGCTTTTAATTTTCCAACTGGAATTCCTCCACCTGTATCTAATTTATTTATGTCGTCATCTTCAAATTTACGAGCAGATTCCACTGGTCCTATCTTCAATATGAGTGGGGGCGCGAATCTTAATACGTTTACCGCCGATGATCGAATGCTTCTTTGGACTCTTTATCACCAACAGCAAATTATACAATTCCAGCTAAATCTTCTCATGCCATCCATACAAGAGATGAAGAAAACTCTTGACGAGATGGGAAACCATTTGAGGTCTCATAGATCACGAGACTTACGTGACATCAAGGAAGAAAAACGCTCTGAGCCTCTAAGCTCAGCCCCATCTCCAGCTCCAGCCCCTGTGCGAACGGAGTCGACAACCGCACCAATTCCCGTAGAGGCAGCTTCCACCGAGGCCGATAGGACGCACGCGAAAGTCGGCAGCGCGAGGTTGGCAACAGCTACCGTGGAGGAATCTCGCTCGTGCACCCCCCCTGTGGAAGTTAGTGGTCATCCAAGCACCATGAACCGTAGCACGAACGTGAATAACTCGGTGGATTCCGTCGCGGCACCGTGGGATCCTTCCACCGGGGCTCCCAATTGTAGAGCGAGCAGCCTCAGCTCTACCGTCGTGAGCCAGCTGAACCGCAGCCACAACCCGTTGCTCTCGTCACGGCACTCGCGGACGGCCCCGATGGCGCACGGTGCCGCCTCCGGTTCACGCCCGCCCTCGCGTATTCACAGCCTGCATTCCACCCATCTTGAGGCGGGGGGAGGGGGAGGGAGAGGGGCGACGGGCAATAATCCAGACCGCCCTTCCACCAGCACCTCCGCCACCGGTTACGTTGCCCCCACCATCGCCCCCCCACGCGTTTCCTCGATGCCCACCTTGTTAGACCGCGAAATCCCACCCTACCGGAACATCACCAGTGCTGGGTGTGTTAATCAAATAGACTTAGAGGGCACATCTGGATTGCTAAAGCGAGGCTACCCCACGGTGACTAAAGTATCTGCAGAGGTAACTCAAACCAAGGAACCGGCGACGAGAGGGACCACCTCTGCGTCCTTTCAACCTGTTAGTAAGACATTGGAACGCTTTCCAGATGAACCGTCTTCTTTATCTGCAGTCCGATCTAGTGAATCAAAAGGCAACCGTGCCTTTTCCGGCCGTAAGAAAGATCCCCATCCAGATTTAAATTCCAAGGATGATTCATTCAGTGAAGGCTACGGGAGCTATGAGTCCCAAGAGTACCTTAGAGGTATTGGACTCCTGCAGAGATACGATCCTCATTAGTTAGAGAACTAGCAAAAAATAGAAACAATATTTCACATATCTATGTACTTAGCATACACGTATACCATATAAATTTGTAAAACTATTTAATTTTATGTGTATTTCTTGCACACATACTCCCTCTCCATACACGATATAGAGCTTTAATATTGTGGAAAGTAGATGGACATTTTGGAAAGAGCAGTGATATTGGCTTTTGTGTAGGTTCCTAATTTTTAGCCTCTCAATATGCAAAGCCATGCACCTCTAATATTTACGATCGTTTTTTCCTTTTTTTAGGAAACAAAATGAGCTTAATTCCAGTGTATTTGTTGTAAAGGGTTGACGAGTTGATCTTATTATACTTTCAGCTCTTAATTATCCCTCTGTGATATCATTTTTGATGCTTAGTGTCTGAATTTTCCCACCTTTTGTATTTCCCGCCTTTATTTTTGCATGCATTTACCCCTTTTTTTCGACCTTTTTCTCCTCATGTTTATAGAGTAGATAGAACGTACCAAAATATCAACAGCATTTCCAAGAAATGCGCCGGCTACTCGTAAGGAAGATCATCACACCTCAAGTGTGCACTATTGCAACTCAGGCTTTTGTGAATAACATAGGAGAGGTTGAGGAGGCGCTTCAGACAGCGATCAACCAAAGACCGGAGCTCATTCGTCACGGTCGTCGTCTCTTCGAGACTGAAGTTCTTGAGGATCTGCCATCTGCGTATTCGTGGGAGGTAGCGAGGAAGATTTGCCAAATGGCAACACAGCTGCGTATTTCTCCTGTCAAGAGCCCGCTCTACTCAAAGGTTGTCGAAATGAGCATGGATGCTACTGCAGTTTCCAGCACAGATCTGTATGCCCTTGCGCGAGTGATTCATAGTTGCCTAGTACTCTGCTCACCTCTTCTTTATGAAGTACTATTCACATTTATTCCACTGCTTATAAAGCAAGCCTCGATTATGAATGCGTTATCGATAGCGATCGTGATTAATGCCTACGGGCGTGCCGAGGTGCACCATCCAGCCTTATTTCAGGCTCTTTGCGATTCCGCTGCAAACACGCTGAAGAGTCCACAAATTCAGCTGCCTCATATCGCCAACGTGGCTCATGCCCTTTCTCGTGTACATTTTTTCCACAGACCGCTGATGCTAGTCCTGCGTGATCAGGCGTCTCGGATGGGAAAGGATGCCCAGCCGCTTGTGATGGTCACACTTCTTGATGCTTTTGTTGAGCTTGGTTTTATCGACGAAGAGGTTTTCTCTGCATATGAGTCAAGGTTATTGGATAACCTCAAAGATATACAACCGCCGCTTATCGCGTCGTTACTAGATTGTCTGGCTACTGCTGGACGCGCAACGCCGAAGTTGCTGGAGACGGTGGAAAAATATATTATAGAACAGTCGAACGCTTTCAATTCTGTTTCCATCTCAATGACCTTTCATGCTCTTTTCAAGGCCAATGTCCTTTTAGAGGAGGCCTTTGGTGTCTTAGCGGAGCGTGCATGCAAGCTACCGGCTGATTTCCGTCCAGAAGAAATTTATCACACCCTTAATGCTCTTAGTTCCTTTGACTTGTTTGATGGTGAGCTGTTTCCACTTCTCGCATCGCGGTTTATGACTCTTATGAAGCAGGGTGACTATGTTGGCGTAGAGGAAGCAGCCGGTATTTTGGCGAGTTTTGCCGCCGTTCAGGAACGTCATGACGAACTGATTCATGGCTGCACACAGCTATTTGTGGCACATCTTGGGAGCGCCATGCGTCCCTCAGCACTTGTTAACGCATTATGGGCCTGCGCGATTTTCAATATTCGTAATGAGGCTCAAATGAAATTATTAGAAGAGGCCAGAAAGAATCCAAGGCTTTTGGACCTTCAGTTTGCACCGAAAGGTAAACTATGTGAACGAGAGAACATTATATTGAAGGAGCGTTATGACCATGTCCTAAGGGTGTACGGTATCGATTCGTCTGAGCACATTGTTTCATAATCTCGACTATCCATTTCCTCATGCGTGTATGTGGAATGCTTTCTCCAAGCCATACTCATGATTACACCAACCCATTCCTGAAGTGACAGAATTAAGCTTCTTTTTCATCACCAAACTCTTTCCAGAGGGATATAAAATAAAGCAGAACCCATAGGCAACTAACTTTATGTTGCATGGCTATGGTGTTTTTTGTTGATTTTTTCGAAAATTTAAAACAACTTATTTTAAACTGGTCAGGCTTTCTTTCAAAGTACAAAGGTAATGCGATAAGTTTGTATGTGCTTCACAAGTTATATTTATCTTTACATTTTTTAATCTTCCTTAACGCTGTTGGGGTGGTGAGACTGACATCCTAGAGCGTCCTAGATTGATTTGGGAATAACACCCTATGTACCGTGAGTCCCTACTGGGGGTTGCCTTAGCGGCCACGCTGGAGGAAATCTCAGAGAAGCATCCTCTCACGCGGGAGCAAAAGGAGCACCTATGGCGCATCTTCGATGAGACGATGGACAGCTGTCTCTCGGAGGTTCCCGTCATGTCTCGCATCTGTGTGAAGATGCCGAGTGGTAGGGCCTCTGCGGCCCCTGTCGCAGGTGAGCAGCAGGGGCCTGAGGGTCGCAGCTCGGAGGAAGGCCCGGCTGAGTGCCCTCAAGAAGGGGCCCCGCCCACTACCTCGCAGGCGGCCTGCGAATCCTCTTCTCGAGTGGGGGAGGAGGAGGATGCTACCGTTTTTCCGGTGTATCGGATGATCGATGGTTTGTGGACCATTTTGCTGAAGGACCCGATTGTGCAGGTGCGCGATGAATTCGGTACCGAGACGGAAGTCCAGCTTGACTATCTAAAGGTGTATTTAAAGGATCCTCAGCGCCAGAGAAGAACACGACGAAAGCGCGAGTAGCGGTCATTAAATACAATGCGAGGCTTGCAAGAGGGAGGGGTGGAGGGGGTGAAGAAAGGATTTTTCCTTACTGCTGATACATACACATATACGTAGGTTTGATGCTTATCATTTTCTAGTATATAATGTGAACATAAGTGTGTTTTAAAATTGAAAATACTTATTTCTGCACTCGCTGATGGGATGCATGCGTAAGCAAGTTCTTTCTTTTTGGAGTTTCATGATTTGAGGTATTCATACGATTTCAGTTAAGGACGAGAATGGTGAATATTCTACACTTGAATTTTTTTTCGAAATTAAGATCCTGTTAAAGAGGGAAAGGATTACTTCATGTCGATAGGCACATTATGTACAGTGATGGTGATCGCAAGACTCTCTCTGAGCTCCAACGTGAAGTCGAAGTGACCCGGACTCAAATATCCGAAGCGATTTCTCAACTGGAGGAAATAAAAAAAGCTACTGCAAAGACTCAATTTTCTATTGACCAAATGTTTCGGATCTTTACTCGCGAGGCAAAAACAGAAGAAGAGAAAAAGAACCTTATTGACGTTCTTATGACCAATTCACCTGAGGTTTATATCGAGTGTGTTCCTTTGTTGCCCATCGCAACTGCTATTGCCAATGGTCGCATGACGAATGCGCGTAGCATATTTGCGGCAAACAATCCCTTTATTAATGATGGATGTCTTATTTACTTTATCCATGTTCTCCGTTTTTCACCGCAGGCAACTCAGATCGATTATGTCGATATAAGTGGGACGGCTGTGACGGAAAAAGGTATCTGCTTTATGCTTGAAATGATGTATGAACGTGAAAGTGCTTTTACATTAGTTGCTAAGAATGTGAGTATTCCGTCGGGTACAGCTTCCGCAGAATACTGTAGTAGATATTCAACTGCACTAAGCGTAGTCAGAAATAAAAAGACGTGTCAACTCATTTTGGATTAGAGTTTTGGGTTTTTACTAAAGATAGATCCTTGTCATTCTTGTACTCAATATGTGCGTAAAAATATCGCTTTTATTAGACGGGCAAGTTTTATTATTTTCATTGAGCTACTGAACTTCCTGCTTTTCTTTTTTTATTTAAGTTTATGAATTCAAGGAAAAAATTGCCGAATAAACAAGCTTCAATAGAGGAGATGAGTTGCTCAAATTTATCCAAGGATCCTTTAGTTTGGGTTCTTATAAGGGGTCTATACAGACAGACCTAGCGTCGCATTTATTAACCCCTTTTAGTACTAGACAGGGTGGTTTTCTAAAAAAAAATTGCCCACTTATCGCCACCTCCATTGTGACTTCTCACTATTAGTGGCTCATCCAACGGCGCAGTTTCGAAGATGGTCGTGTCGCGTGGATTCTCTTTGATGCAATTTTTCTCTCAACATGGGCGAGACTGACGATACCGAAATCAGCGGGGTACGCATCTCTTGATGTTTAGGAATTCCTGTGCGCAATGTGTCCATCTTTGCGGATTATTTTCACATTTTTCCGTGTGTTCCGGTAGTTTAGTGGAGCTTAACGACGTCAGAAGGTCATTAGGTACTTCTCGACGCATTTCGATATCCTTCAGATGAGGGGGTTTACCTTTTGAACCGGATCTATTGACATTATGTATTTATGCTAAATCACCTGAGCCAAAGCATAGTGGGAAGGAAAATGTGTCATATTTACTCCTTACGCGCTTGTAATCACTTTTTCTGTGTGAGCTTACGACTCAATTGCAGTTAATCCTTTGCGTTTTCATAGGGCGAAACTAATTTGAACCGTGACGTAAGTTATTTAGAATGACACTTATACCAACCCATCTTATGGTATTTGATTACTGAGTTTCCCTGAATTTTGCCGTTTTGTTTTCTCCTCAGGCTCAAGTAAGTGAATGAAGCCAAGGTGAGATTGGCACTCTGAAATTTCAAAAAAGAATAATTTGTTTTAAATGGGGCCGGGTGACTGCGTAAGTGGACCACTTGAGACACAATGCGACTTAAATTTTCGCGCACTTCTTCAAGACCCAAACCTTTCGCCGTTTATGCATGCCGTCACTCGGAATATCCTTGACCTTCCAGAATCTGCTTCTTTAATGTCTCGTTTGAAGCCACTCGATGCTGCGCTCGTGTACCGTGCGGCCCTTTGGGTTCCTCCATCGACCTCCAAATCCGTAGCTAAGCCTTTTACCAATGTCACCAAACGTTTGGATGAAGAGAATGCGGCTGAAGAGATCTGCCGGGATATCTTGAATTCTTTGAACCTTCAGGGGCGCGGTCGTGAGCTTCTAGAAGAGTGTAAGTCTTGTGGTGATGATCTCAATGACTGTCTTCGTTTCACAAAGCTGCCTTCTCTTTCTCGTATCCAGAAGATTGAGGAGAACTACCCCAACTATGCCTTTTATCTTGATAGACGAGAAACACAGCTGCAACTTGAAATTCTTTCATGTCTTACAGAGTGAATCCAGAAGACCATTCGTGTTCTTTTTATTTTTTTGTCTTCGAAATCTGCTATTATTTTATATCAAAAAAAGAAACATGAGTTCTCGGCAAATAAACTTGTTAATTCCTGTTTTAGGATTTTTTGATTACGAATGCAAATAATTCAATACCTTTCTATCCATATATATATTTATATATATAATCACATTCTACTACAGGTACCCTCAGAGATACGTGTATTCACCTAAAAAATAACAATGCCTGCAGTTCCACAACGGAAGCAGATTACTCAAGTCACTAAGGATGAAGAAGGGCAATCTTCCTCTTTCTCTTTACCAGTGTTGTCACAAACGACATCTACGGACAGCAGTAGCGACAGTGAGGATGACGAAACCTCCACCACGTTTTCATCTGCTAGTAGCGCTAATGAGGAAGAGAAGGAATCGCCCAAGCAGACGGCCGCACCGTCCTCGGCACCCAATTTAAGTGGAGCTCAATCCCAGACTACTCATACAAATGTAAATCGCATTATACAGCTCAACCCGGATTTGCGATTTGAGCGACCCGACAACGAGTATATTCCCCTACCGCGCGTGCAGAACACTTCGCAAGTGTCTTCTTTCTTGCGTTGTATTCTTAATGACCGTACCCATTACCCCGAAGGTTGCTATCGTATGGTCGACTACTTCCGAGCGGCCGTTGAGCTGTTTTTGCAACGCGTGAGGCTAGAGTACAAGCAGCAGGTGGAGATGGCGCGGCGAAATGGAAATTCGATGACGCGCTTCATTTGGCGGAACAAAGGTGAACTCGCCGTCTACTTTGCCTGCTGCTGCGACATGCTAAAGCTGCTCTACGACTCCCTTCAGCCCGGCCCAATGAAGCCGTTGTGGAGCGCCTTTGCGCAGCAGCTCGCCCCGTTGCTTATTGTGGAGAGCCACCTCCCGAGCACGGTCTTGACGGAGCACACCTATCATACGAAGTACATGGATTGGCAAAAGGGCGGCACCCGATACGTGGGAGAGCACTCCTCCGCCAACATTCGCTTTCCCTCCGCCCAGGAACGGCGGCTGAAAATCGAAGCCTATCTTCGCTCAGGGACGGGGTATCAAATGGAAACGGGGGGGGTCGTAGATCCCCCCGCAGGAGGGCGTCCAGGGCCCTCCCTCCCTCCTGCCACGCGGCCTTCTCCCGTCTCCAGCCGCGCTCTTCCCCCTTCCTTGACGGTGGTACCCCCTGGTACGCGGATGGAGGTGAAGACAATCCCGCCCCCTCTTTCAGGAGGAAAACCTCCCCCTTTCATCCCTCCATGGGGTTCAGCAGGGGGCGGGAGGGGGGAGGGCCCCGGCCCCGTCAGAGGAGGGGGGAGTCGTGCCCTGCCGAGAAACCCCACGCCCCACCCCCCTGCCGCTCCGGTTGCGGTGAAGCAGATGCCGGATGAGATGCGGCACCTCTTTTGGCTTTCTGCCCTCGCTCACATCAAAGGAGGAGAGGCGGGGGCGTGCTTCCCCGACGAGCGCGCGGCGGCGATGCCCGGGTTTGTGAGGGTGTGTGAAATCACCCGGCTGCCACGGGAGATCTGTGTGCTGGTGGACATCCTGGCCGCCTCGAGTGAGGGTATTCAAACTGTCTTTGAGCGTCTTGGGGGGATGATCATCCTCAGGCGTTTTGTGAGCGTCTTGGTTCGCGAGCGGGATGAACGATCCCTTATCCATGTGATTCGGCAGCTTGTGCAATTCAGGGGCCCATCGTTTTGGGGCATCGCTTCTCAGAAGGCTTGGCGGACCAACGACACCAACAAGCTCACGGATGACCTGACATGGTTGCGGGGACTGACGTTGATTCCCATCGAAAGCCGAGCGGCATGGGGAGCATTAGTGTTGGTGATGGAGGAAAAGTACATTTTCAAGGCCTCCCGAGAGGAGATGGAGGAGACGCGAAAGCGTAGCCGTGCGAATGATCCACTGGCCATTTCCACTTCGCCCATGACAGGCGGCCTGCACTCCACCCTCAGCGATAACTGCGATTTCCAGCGCTGGAAGCTGCCTCGCGTTAACACATTGGCCGCGGTTCGGCTTCCCGTCGAGTTACGGGCCCCGCCGTTCTCGTCGGATCTTGAAAAAGACACCATTGATTTCATAAATACCAAAAAGAATTATGCGATGTCCATGCAGGAAGAATGGAGGGCTCGTATTTTGGCTGCAGTTCGCAGTAGACATGTTGATGAAGATTGTGTATCAATTCCGTTATGGTATGACCCATTTCAACTACTGGGCATAACCCAATTAGAGTAGCATTAAATTATTATTATGTGCTTCCTCGTGTGACATTTATTTTGCTTCATGTTCGTTTAAAATTTGTTGACCTAAAAGGAAATGATACTTTCCGTCAACAAGTGGATACAATAATGCTAATAATCCTATTTATCTTACCCAAGTGAATGCATTACTTCATTACAATGAAGCACTTTATGTGAGTTTTTTCTCCTATACAAATATTTTATTAAACCGATTTACGATATGCTCATAAAATTTTAGGAAATTTTTGTTGCATTTAAGCATCAGTTCGTTTCATTATGAATCAAATCCTTGTGATGAGTTTGATAAAGCTTGTCGCGTTCTGTTTGAACTGACTACAGATTGATGCACCGTTAGTATTACTAGTTTGTTATCTGATGGTGGCGTTTTCTCCCCCGATCACATTGCTTCCCTTCAGTACGGTTTTCAGTTCAATGTGGCTGCTGTTTCGTCGTTATGATTCTACTTTTTAGTTGTGCTTGATTCTTACATGATATCATTCTTACCCAACATTGTCATAGTTACGATGAACGACAACTCGTATTTCCATTCCTCTGCTGTCCGCATGGGTTCAACACTTCGCGTACCTACTGATGAATTCCACACAATGCCACGGGTAAATGCCTTTTACCTTTTTACAAGGCTGCGTGAACCGCTTCCAAGGGCATGCGCCGCTGTTATATTGCCCTTAATGGATTAGGATTAAATTTTTCCATGCTATTTCGTGCTATTTGCTGATCTTTTTTTGTGTAGTAGTCCTCCTGTAGTTGTTTGCGGTATTTCCGTATCTGAGTTGTGTTGACGTGTGTGTGTGTGTGCGTGTGCTTCTTCGAGTTGTGGTTTAGGGAAACAGGTTGGGATTTGAAACGCCATGGTGATGATTTTGATAAAGCTTGTCGCGTTCTGTTTGAACTGACTACAGATTGATGCACCGTTAGTATTACTAGTTTGTTATCTGATGGTGGCGTTTTCTCCCCCGATCACATTGCTTCCCTTCAGTACGGTTTTCAGTTCAATGTGGCTGCTGTTTCGTCGTTATGATTCTACTTTTTAGTTGTGCTTGATTCTTACATGATATCATTCTTACCCAACATTGTCATAGTTACGATGAACGACAAACATCAAAATCCATCTTTAGACCTCTAAAACTTTATTTCGTTGTTGATTGTTTGCCAATGTCTTCTATTTCAGTATCAACACTAATGCCACGTGTTGAGTATTTAAATTTTACAGGGTGATGCTTACCACGAGGGATGTCTAAAGTTGATGGATCGCTTCGTAGAAAATAAGCCCAAGAAATTTATAGCAAGTCTTTTTTTTTTTGGATCATTTTAATAAAAGGAAACAATAATAACTACCAGATGTCTATAGGTCCTTTCCGTGCCTTTCCATTATATTATGGCCGATAAAGTTATTCTAAGACATCGAGATAGACTTTTTTTAGTTCGACTAGATATCTCAGCGTTGTTATGAAGAAAAGTGTTTGTATGTGGAGTGGATTTGGTTTTCTGTTGGAGGGCTTGCGTGGGAAAGGAGCATTTTACAAAGGGGGATACACTGAGACGATATCAAGTTAAACAAGTAGTGAGTGAGAGTTTGAAGCTAAACACGTTCTCGTCGATAGCAAAGTACTTTTGAAAAGGGTTTATGCTGAGAGATTAGGCGACAATGATGTGATACAAAAAGGATATTTTTAAATTCAGAAGGATCTATATTATTAATTTATCCACTTTTATTATTTGCTGCATGCCTATGTTGGGTTTTATCGTCTCTTAAGCACTCCAAGCGTGAGTATTTTAAGGCTTTCCATTCCGAGTACTCATTTTCCGCGATCTCCTTTTTGTGTACTTGTAAAAATAATCAATAATTGCATATAAGGTTCCCTTTCGCCTACCACATCCCCATGTTCTCCTCAAACCAGGATGGGGACCTAACACAAGTTAACCCTGGTCTGCTGGAGCTGTCCAGGGACCCCAAGGAGTGGCGAGAGCAACGACGACGTGCTATGAAAGAAAGGATTTTCGGCCACAAGGATAGCCAAGGAGGCTATTCAGGTAGCAGTGATGTACCGAATAACGAGCACGCACCACTTGGCAGGATTGAATCGACCACTCCGTCCCTTCCCACTTCCCAGACTCCGTGCGGACCAGGCAGTGATGGTGATCGCGCACAGCAAGAGGCTTTTATTCTACAGCAGATCTTATGTCGCAAGAGGCAACGTGAGGAGCGAGGGAAGGGTTCGCCTGCGGTGGAGCCTACCCACGATGCGTTCAACAAGGCATCCAGCGCTCCCTGTGAGCTCTCCATTAAGGATAAGTTACTCCAAAAGTACAAGACGACATAGTCTTAGCATCATGGTTTCACACGAAAAGACGTGTGCCTTGAGAAATAGAAGCGACGAAAGCAAAATATCTTTTTCCAACATTTTCATGCATGCTTTATATGATGGCAAAAAAATGGTCTCCGTATCTTTATTCATGACGAGTCTTGTGCCTATGTCTATATCTATTAATAAATATTTACATTCAGTGGCTAACCAAGTAAAGTGAAGCAACACATTCATTTGGATCCGGGGGGTTGCTACTGCATGCTTCCCTTTGTTCCCTGTAAAAGTACATATTAAACTAGCTTTCAGGTGAAATTATAATGGGCCAAAATGGTACTGCAACCAGTGGCCGCGGCCTAACTGGGATGCAAATCGTGTCTACCATTCGTATGGTGGCGAAGATGCACGAAAAATGCGACTGCGAATGCTCAGCCGCGAATAATCCTGTTGTGCTGAACGAAAATTGGTGTGCTCACACACAGTCTCCTCGAACTGGAGTAGCGGCACGGTTTTCTCAGCTCCCCAAGGAAGCATACACGGAGAGGGCTGTGCATCGCTTTATGATTGAAGGCGAAGAAGTGGAGGTGTGTGAATATGCACCTAAAGTTTTTTGCCTAATTAGAAATATAAATTGTATAAAAAGCAAAAAATTTATTGATGAGTGGACCTTTTCCGCTGGACACACTAAGATGAAACTAAGCGCTGGTCGTTCGAAGGCTTTTTTCATCAGCTCGAAGAATTTGCTTTTTTTATCTAAGACTATCGCAAAAGAGGAGTCAGAGGTCCTAGCTGACATCCTCGAGTCCTACACTCAGTATCTTTTAACTCATCCTAATTCACTCCTTTCGCGCTTCTACATGCTACTTAATATGCGGGTAGGTAAGAAAGTGGGTTATATTCTGTGCAATTCTGACGTATTTGCGAATGCAGCGACATTAGATGAGAAGTGGGATATCAAGGGGCGCATGCCGAAGCTGGGAAAGTTCTTCTATATACCCCATTTGGTGCCTCACACCTATGATCCAAATCAGACTGAGGTGGTTGTACATGCGACCGAGAAACGAATTAACGATGCACTTAATATCGCACGAAGCGGGGCTGCATGCAAGCAGGAAGTGGCCACGAAACACGATAAGGATCTAACGCGAATGTTTTGGATTAAGAGAGGACGTCGTGAACAATTCATTAGACAGCTTCTCTCAGATTATGCGTACTTGGCATCTGAAAATCTTATGGACTATTCCTTGCTCATTGGTGTGGCGAGTAATGGCTGCAATTCTTCGATCTCAGGTAATGAGGATGCTTCCTGTGAAGGTTCTTCACAGATGCAAGCGAGGCCACTGAGTGCTCATCTCTCGCAGGTTGGACCCTTTGCTTTTCGAAGCCAAGATTCACTAAGTGAACGTAGCAGGCAGTGTTTAGTGTCTATGTACGAGAAGGGCATCCCTAGTGTTCTGGATCAAGAGGTTTACTATATTGGTATTATTGACGTTCTCACAAGGTATACCGTCAAAAAGAAACTTGCTAACTTTTGCAAATCCTTTTTATGGGCTCAAAGAACTTTATCAACTATTCCTCCAAAGCGGTATCAACGTCGCATAAACAAATATACACAGATAATATTTCCCAAAGTTTGCTAATTCAAATTAGAATTATATAAATAAGCGAGAGAATGAACAAACGCAAGAATAGTAACTCTGTAGGAATCGGTGGATTAGTACTATTTTGTTCAAATGAGTACATCTAGTGTTATATATTTACAAGGTTTGCGTTGATCTTCCTTAAGATCACCTTAAGAGAACTTGAAACCTTGAATTGGTTTTACTTCATTTCTTACTATTGTCATGTATCATTACTAATTATGGTCGTTTTTCTATTTCTTATTTTTCTTTTAAAATTTGAATATACTATACAAAGCCTTGTTTCTTGTTTGTGTGTGTCTGTCTTAAACCCAAGAAAGGCGTTTCAAGCGAAGGAATTCATGCAGCAAAATATTTTACTCGATCCCAGTATTCGCGACTGGGTACTTCTACCTCTTATCGCGATTGTCATCTTTATGGGAATTTTGAGGCACTATGCAACTCTCCTCTTAACGTCCAAGACTAATGTTAATATGACAGCACTGTGCAATTCAAATATAGCGAATTATGCGCGTTTGCTGGTTCAGTCTGGAAATAACCTTCCACCAGCGGCCTACAAAAAGCGCGTTGAAGAGCTACTGAATCATGATCTGAAAAAAAAGGTCCCCCCACCAAACCCCATGCAGATGATGAACGACCCCAACATGATGATGGGCCTCTTGAAAAACCAGTTTATGTCATTGGTTCCCAACATTGGTATGATGATGCTTGTTTCAAACTTTTTCTCCGGATTTGTCGTCGCGAAACTTCCCTTTCCGTTGTACCAGCGTTTTCGCGGCATGATGCAGCGTGGAGTGGATATCGATGACTTAGACTGCACCTACGTCACGTCTTTGAGTATGTACTTTCTCATTATGTTTGGAAGCCAAGGAATTCTACAGCTTATGCTCGGCCAAGATGCCACGGCGAACGACCAGGCCGTTATGATGCAGCAGATGCAGGGAGGTAGCGCACCAGGGCAGCCTGTTGATTATGCTAACGTTTTTAAACAGATGTCAGGGGAGTTGGAGTTTATGAAGGAACGTCATAAGTGGAGCTATGCTGATGCGCCTAAAACACTTCTAAAGGAATGGCGAACAGCCAAAAGACAGGCTAATAGGAAGAATTGGAACAAGTAGAGGAGTGTGTAGAGTTCTTTTTTTGCAGCATTTTCTGAAAATACTAATTAAATCGTTGTTTTTTTGTTGTCGAAAAATCACTCGCTTGGACCGCTTTTTGTGTGGATTTTCCACTTCCCACTTTCGTAAAACTATCATCTAACAATCTTCTGGATGTTATGGAAACGTACACATCTGATGTGTAATAATAACTCATCAGGGGCTATATGCATAGATGTACGTGTACTTGTCTATATGGGTTTTCTTTATCCATTCCTATTTTTATTGTTTGATCGCTATACTTTTTACCTTTCTAACAGGCGATTTTCCCCACTTCATTTTTTTCAGTAATATCAAGCAAAGTGTTATGGAACAACCAGAGAATGCAAGTAACCGTGCTCTTCGGCAGCCATATGATCTTGATACAAATAACATCAAACATATCCACGGCCTCCCAGTTTCTATACCTCCTCCTATCTCGCGTCCTAACACTTTAAGTCGAGCTCGTTTAGAGAAGCTGAGTTTCCCGAAGCGGGAACTCTCTATGCCTGACTTTGTTCCCTCCCATAATTTCTGGGAAAGTACCTTACGCAAGCGCTTTTTTTTCTCAACCGGATCTTTGCCAAAGTCTGCACTGCGTTGTAGGTGCCCCACTACTGTGCTACCACAGTTGAAGGAGCCTCATGCCACATCAGATACCGATCACGTTCTCACAAGGGGAGCGCATTCCACTTCCGTGGCTAGGCGTGTGGGGCATCCTAATATTTCCGTTGAAAGTGTTAATACAGAATTGCCTTCCGAACAAGAGACAAGCCCAAAGAAGAAAGTGGAGCGTATCAAGGGGGAAAGTAGTTCCCGTGTTCAAGACGTAAGACATAAAACAGGGGATCAAGCAATGCAGGAATTCTCTTTGCCCTTCTGGAATTTTTGTCGGAATAAACACCCGAATCAAGAGAACATACGATCCCGCAGATCTTCCCTTGTGCCCAAACGACATCCAAGCGGGACGAGGTTTGATGCGGTCGACATGGTCCGGATCTCTCTCCAAGTCTTCGTTGAAAATAAATTCTCTCGAATTTATATGAATATTTGGAGAAGGGTTACATTGATACAGCGCAATTACCGCCGTCATCATAAACGCCTTCTTGCTGGAGTCGAGCTTAATTTTTTGAAATTGCGTCGAGATGAAGAGCCGTTATACTGGGCTGAGGTTACTTCGAAGTGGGAGCAGGATGTTCTACGTGATATCCGGTCCACCTCGCTTATTCCGGAGCGTAATTCCAAGTCCATCACCAATTCGAAATCCCCAAGTCCGAAATCCCCAAGTCACTCCGTGAGCGAGCGCGATTTGACATCATATGATCTCGACGTGTACAACTATTCAACGATTGGCCCACTCCCGGAGTCGCTCCTCCGCAAGGAGTTGGAAACCGCTCTGCTTTCAAGTTTGAGGAGAGTTGTTACCTCCACCTCAATTTCCTGCCCTCAGGCCTTTTCACTTTCAGCCTGTGAGGGGCGTACCGGTAAAATGAGACCGAAGAAAATCACTTTCCTTTCCTCTAGATCCAAGACGCCGCCTCCTCAGTTCCCTATCTTTCTTCCGCATAAGACGTTTGTCGCAATCATAGATAATGTGTGCTTTATTATTTCTAAATTTCGTGATGATTCTGCCTTATTGGCTCATTTAAAAGGAAGAAATAGGTCCATTGTTAGCTATTAATTTTTCACCTTGCTCTTCTCCTTACTGGATAAACGTTTACTAATGTTGTTGATTTCATTATACTATTCAAAATGGGCGAATAATATATTTGCTGTACGTTTTTGTTTTTCTCATCGTTGCTGTTAAAAGCGAAATATATTCATCCGGTGCGTAATTTACATTTACTCATATCTACTCTTAGTATCAAGGGTACTTTGTATATGGTCTGAGATTTATTTAGAAAAAAATTAATGACTCATCGGAGGCCATGAAGCTGTTTATGTTGAGAATTTCCTCATTTCTTTGCACATTTTATTTTTAATTCATTGGAAAAATTTTACCACCACTTGATAAATAGAAAGTAGCATTGTCTTTCTTTTTCTACAAATAGCTATGCATCTTCAGGTTTACATTGAAAATGGCAAGCGGGTTTATACCCTCAAGAAGATTGATCCATATGGAAAGCCTACACTTAGTGCTCATCCAGCTCGCTTCAGCCCCGACGATCCATACAGTCGGCATCGTATCATAATCAAGCGTAGATTCAAGGCCCTTGCGTCTGAGAAAAAGCCAAAGCCCCTTTAAAAGTAAATATTAATATGAATTATATACGGAGGAGGAGGTAGTAAGGAAGGAAATACTATTTTAAAATAAAAATGTCTGCCGTGCAGCAAGAAACTAATGATGTTTTGCATCAAATCCTTTTCTTTATATAATCATATACGTGTGCAAGTTTCATAGCAACAAATGGCTTGATCCATTTTCCGTTTGGTGATTGGTCTTGGTCTAATTGTTTTCAGCCGTTTTCACTTTTGTATTAACTTTATTTTTAGTTATTTCTAAGGCAGCGTTTTTTATTTTCATGACGCTACACAAGTACTTACAAGTGATGAACTCCACCGGAATGTCTCATTTCGCGCGTACCGTGGATACTTTTTGAGAAATTTACCGAAGCCGTTTCTTTTTCGGTATTGTTGTGTATACTTTTACCCTCATGTTACCCAGGATAAAGATTACGATAAGCGAGATATCGGTGCTACCTGAAGGACCTCAAAGCTAATGCCTGCTTTACACGTTAGTTCTGTGATCGGCCTTGCCTTTGCAGAGAGAGAGACAAGCATACCGAATCGATACTCGAGCTCCAATACTAGTTCTGCATGTTTTCAAATGTGAGTTTCATATCATCAAGATTAGGGAGATTATACTTTAATTTTTTCAACAGAAGGTGCCGAAGATGTTTTGGAAACTGTCTAATACAGATTTGGAGTGGCTAAAGAATCTCTAGGGGCAACAAATTACAACTCTTTGTCAACGATATACTCACGAGATGCTCTTTAACGAAAAGTTTGTGGGCTTAGTGCGCGCGTTGAACTGTGATTGACATTTGATACAGAAAAAGTAAAGCACATCTTACACATAAAAATAGCACTATATGAAAAATATGATTCCTGGAGCGATTAACAGATAACAACAGCCATATTTTTCTTTCTAGAGGAAAAACACCACTATATAGGCTCCAACGGTGTGGAAATAGGCGTATCACATACCCCGATTCTAGAGGAGCACGCTACACGGAAATACCCTTATGATTCAATCGCAGGTATGTCGCAGTAGTTCTTGACGTGATCTGAGGAGAAGTTTCGACCTTTTCTTCACTTTTGGTGGTATGATTTCCGATAAATATGAAACTAGCTTTCGCTTTTCAAGTGAATTGTTACTTCCGGCTTGCCATGGAAAAAGGTCAGTTTCTTACAGGTTTGCACTATTTCCAATGAAAGTATTCCCTTTGAAGCAGACACCAAGATGGATTCTAGTCTTTAATCTCTATATTAATTCGATCCTTAGGCGGGTGGAGTAGATGGGGATAACGGTACTGGCTCTCACATAGCCTGATATCCTCTTTGATGTGATTGCTATCGTTATCGCGGTACCGCAAAAAAAGTGTCATGTCCATAGAACGGGCTCATCTAGCAATACACTTAATAAAAATCTAGTGTGTCAGGGTTGTCTCGCTTTATCAACTGCAGTAATCTCGTCGACATTTGTTCCTATACTAGCGCATTAGACCATTTTAGTGATACGTATTCGAGTGTAGGCCTATATCCAGTAATACACTACCGGTAAGAAGCTTTTGTAGATAGCCTTTAACTTAGGAATC